ATCAGGTGCCCCCTGCCAAAAAAAAAAAAAAAAAAAAAAAACGGGTATGCTGTATGCTATGTGAGTATCTCAGTAAAGCTGTTACCACAAAAGGTGGGGGGAGAGGTCTGCCTGGCTTGGAGCAGCAGTTGTCAAATTCAGTGCCTAGCACAAGCTCTACAGAAGATTCTGATGTCCAGTCAAGTTGTGGGAGCCCAGCTGAGGGTTGGGGGCAGAGGCAGGAGGTGGAGCTCTGGGGAGCCCTCAGGGAGTGGCTCAGACCTACTTGCTCGAGGCCTTGGGTACTCCAGGCACACAACATGATTTGTGCACAGGGGTTGTCCTGTCAAGCCTAGGGGTTGTCCTGGCAAGGCTAGGGGCTGCTCAGGCAGCCTGCACAGTGGGGGACTGGAGTGAGGTGCCCCATGTAGCCCCTGCTTAAAGAAGGTGGTCAGACCTGTCGGGCCCTTTAGACAGTCACAGCCAACTTGACATCACACGGGAATGTTTTGTTCAATTATTTATTTACTGTGGAGTTTTTTACATGCAAGAACCCAAACTAGAGAGATGGTACTGGAAGGAAAGTCAGTGGGGTGGTTGGGTGCTCTGGTGTCACTCTGAGTCGTGAATGCTTTGACCTGCCCTCCAGAACCAGCTCTGTCCACAGAAACACGTGACAGTGACAACACCAGACTTCTGGGACAAGTGGACAACGAACTGAACACATTCTTCTTTTCAATAGCGCCCCCAGAATCCTGAGAACCCTCACAAATTAAGTGCAAACTTCAGAAAATAAATATCCATTCCCCCTTCTCCAGGAGAGCCTGGAGGTTTTGTACACAAGAGAAGCAGTTAAGACTCAGGGGTTGACAGCTGCTCCTGGGAGCTGGGGACTACAGGAAAAGCCTGGCTTGGCCCCCCATGGATATGAAGGGCGGGAGATGGGCACTGGGAGCAGCAGGGGCCATAGGTGGATACACACTTCTCCATGGGTGGGGAAGCCTGGCTGTAGCCTACATGAGTGAGCAGGCCCGGCCTGGCAGTGCAAAGCTGAGGCCAGGCTGAGGGCAAGTATTCCTCACGTTGCTCTCCCCAGGCTGCCTGGGGGCTGGCCTGGCCCCAGGAAGGCCCATGGTCCACTCCAAGCCATCCAGAAGGCTGGCCCGACTGAGTCGGAAGTGTGCTCAGGGATCCAGGGGAGTCAGGAAGGAACAGGAGGGGCAAGAACACGGAACCGAGCACGGCCGCCCTGTGCGTGCCTGTGGCCACTGGGTCATGCAAAACCCTTGCCACCACTCTCCCAGCTGGGGGCCTCAAGGCAGAGGAATACTGCTGCAGCAAAGGGTTCTTTCCTCCTGAGGCATGGTGACAGCACAGGCCCTGAGACCACTGGGTGGGGAAGGGAAGGGCAGTGAACCAAGGCACAGTCACTCCACTGAGGGGGTTGACAGACAGGTCAGACAGAGGTCACCTTTCTGTCTGGCCCAGGACAGCAACAAGCCCTTTTGGTTCCAAAATCCCTTGTCCCATGCACACTGATAAGTAAGTTGGTCATTCTCTTAGCCTGGCCACAGCTGGCCTGCTTGGTGCCTGGGGACGCCTGGGCAGGACCACTCTGTGGCAGGCTGGCCAAGGCCCACCATGCCCTGGCTGTATGTAGTGCCATTACCTGCTGCCCACTGGCCAAAAAAGCAGGCAGGAGGAAATGGTTAGTTTTCACATAGTAGCACACAATGAACACAGAAAAGGTTAAACACATCCCCAAGAAAATATTTTGACAAAATAAATATTTTAACCTATAATCAGGTATAATTAGTGCTTATAAGGAATCCCAGCAATAACTTAGTATAATTAAGTACATACTGTATCTGTGATTTCTAACACTTGTGGAGAGGCTGGTGGCTTGCGAGAGTCCAGCTTTCCTGACAGGGCTCTGCTCCCTTCCCTAATCAGGATGCCTGAGGACTGTGCTCCCCAGATGGTGACAGCCGGGGGGACGGGGGTAGCGGGGAGGTAGAGCTTCAGGACAGGATGTCCCTGCACGGGCTGAGTGGCACCCCCAGGGCGCCTGACCTGTACTTGCTTCCTGTGCAAGCCTCAAGCTTGTGTCAGCTCAGCCTACAGGTAGGGGCAGGTGGCCTCTGGATAGGATGTGTAAGCAGGAGGTGCTTGAAAGTCACACCAGAGGGGCCGCTCCCGGTCAGGAAGGCAGGTGACGCCTGTCTGCATGGCCAATGGCCTTTTGCCAGTCCACAGTAGTCCACCACCACCTGCTGCCCATGGGACAGCCAGGCCTCTCCAAGCCCCCTGCCTGGCCGACAAGCTGGGGTTGAGTGGGGAAAGTTCTGGACATGGGTACTAAAAATAGATTTGCTGGGGGCTCCAACCTTAACTTCATGCACTGCAGGAGCCCCCTCTTTGTCTCAGAGCCCTCAGGCTCCTGGCCTTGAGGATGTTCCCTTGCCTCTGTTCCCTCAGAGGACGCCCAGCTCTGACCCTCACAGATACAGCCCCTCCAGACCATGCCAAAGGGCTAGGGTCTCTGGCTACACCTTGGCCATCCCAGCCACCTTCTCTGCAGCTCGAGTCAAGCCACAGGCTTCAGAAATCTTGCCATCTGAGCTGGCCTCAGGGGGCTCTGCCCTTGAGAAGCACTGAGTGGGGAGGTGCAGGCTGACCAAGGGTCAGGGAGCAGAAGTGGAGGCGTGGCATGTGCTGTCAGAGAGGGCAGGGCTGGAATCAAGCTAGCCAAGCTCCAAGGAGGAACCTGAATGTCCTCTGAGGAACCTGAGTGTGACATCCCCAGCTGGTCCTGCCAGATGGGCCCCAGGTAGACCAAGCTGGAGGGGTGCTAGACTGAGTATGGGGCTCTGGGCCAGGCAGTGCCCCACTCCCCACTGGAATTGCTCCTGTTGCAGCTCAGCATGGCTCCACCTGTAGTCCCAGTCACAAATGTTTCCCAGTGCCTTCTTGCGAGAAGCCAAGCCTCTTCTACCTGCTCAGGCTGGCACTCCTACCAGGTGGAAAGGGCTGACCTCACCATGGGTCGGGAACATGTGGTGGCCTGGGCAGTGCAAGCTGGAGGAGACAGGAGCAGACTCAGACCCAGCGAGTGGGCTCCCAAGACTCACAGGTGGTGTGACACAGCTGCAGTAGCAGCAGCATTTTCCTTCTGGGCAACAGCAGAATGGGACAGTTGCTGGCTGAACCAGGACTTGGGTAGAGCCATAAGTCCCTTGCCCACAGCCAGGAGACACATCAGTGAGGACATGTGACAGGAGCAGGTGTCACCAACCACCACCTGGGCCCCAGGCTCTTCAGCCTTCAAGGTCGGCTTGTGGAGAGGGTGCAAATTGGTGGCCAGGGGACATCTGAAGAGGGAAGAGGTCAGGCGGTCTGGACAGTCTGTGTGAGGAGGCTGAGGCCCATGCCAGGGAGCAGCGCAGGAGCCTTAGTGTTGCTCTGGCAACTTAGTCATCTGGAACCTCCAAGCATGGCGCAAAGCTGTCTGCTGCTGGGCCCTGGAGGTAGAGTTGCAGAGGCTACCACAGGCCAGGCCAAGCCCCAAGTGTGGCATGCTCACAAACCCGCAGTGCCTTTCCAAGCAAGCCCCCTCCACAAGCCAGGGCCAAATGTACGTGGTGTGAACGTGCAGTGTGGTTTACGGTAGTGTTATCCCACCAGAGTGCTACGTGCCCGCTGTCCCCAGGTTGCATGCTGCCCTCCCAACTGCCCATGGCTCTCTCCCCACACCAGAAGCGGGCAGGTCCACCTGGGGCCCCTTGGTCCCAGGCTCAGCACTGGGTCAGCTCAGGCACAGGGCCTGGGCTGGCAACTGAGTGAAAGAGAGAAGGTCAAAAAGGTGAGAGGCCCACACATGGGCACCCCACTGAGCCTTCCAAAGTGCCGACATGCCAAGTGCCACAAGATGACACAAGGAGACCAAGCCTGTGGGAGCAACCAAGCCCTGCTCTTCCAGATGCGGCAGCACAAGGCCCTTTCTGGAAGAGAGGGGCACAGGAGGGCAGGCACGCCCAAGCAGCTCTGCTGAGCCAGGAAGAGGCAACGCACATGTGGAGGGGCCGGGCCTGCCCCCCTTCTCCATGGGCGGGTGACTGCAGGGAAGGCAGTTGAGGGGGACTGCTCAGCAAACAGTGCCAAGGAGGCTGTCCTGCCTGGGGCTGCCCACTCTGCTGCTCTTCCTGGGAGGAAACACAGGCACAGGGAGCCTGTGGGGGAGGGGAGGAAGGGCCTCTGGCTGCAGCCACGCTGTCCCATCACCCAGAGAAAAGAAGGTGGCTAAAGCTGGTCCTGACTAGTGGGAGGCCTGGGAGCAAACACAGTGGCATTTCCACGGAGACACAGGTGTGCAGGCCACATGGGGCTTGGGGATAGGAGGAGTGGCCAGTGCCTGGTGTCCACCGGGGGAGTGAGTGGTGACTGCCATCTGGGAAGGCAAACCACAGACACCTCACAAGGCGAAGAGGGCATCCTCCGACCGTTCTGGCTTCTTCCGGCCAGAGGGGTTTGAGGCTGGGGAGGGGGCTTCAACCGGGGGTGAGGGCAGGTCAGGAACCATTTCAGCAGCTTTGGCTCTTTCTTCAAGGAATTTGTCAAACTCTGCAACACAAACCAAGGCAAGGGCCAGGGTTGGTGGGGGGCATGGCCCACCTGCTCCCCAAAGGGCACTTCACTTGTCCTCACAGGGGTCACCCCAGCACGAGCCCCCACCACTCCCAGCTCAGGACTGCACCACATTGCCCTGGCCACCCGCCAGAGGGAAGCAGGGGTGGCAGTGCCAGCAGTTAGACCCAGAGCCAGGGGTGCTTCTGGACCCTCGCTGCCTGGGGACTAGCCTCAGGGAAGTCACCCCCCTACTGGCCAGCCTCAGTTTCTTCCTCTGCCACCTCCAGAGCAAGCAGAAAGCCCAACTAGGAGGGGGTGGGTGGGGAGGGCCCATAAGCTACTCTGTGGGAAGGGGGGCCCTACTTCCCAGTGAGTGGAGAAAAGGTTTGGCTATGCCCAGCCTGAAGGCCCTGCAGGGGAAGGCTCTGGAAAATCCAGAGCACAGAGCACCTTGCCCCACTGCTGACCCGCAGCTTTGTCCATTTTCCATATCAGCACTGGGGACAGAGCAGGGAGAACCAGAGGGGCCAGCTCCTAATTAGACTTGGCAGGCACATCCCACCTACCACACTCTTGACCACCAAGAACTGCTAAGGAAGGAAGTGGGAGGGGAGGGGGAGCACTCTACTTCCACATGGCCAGCCAGAACTAGAAAGCCGAGTTCTCTGAAGGTTCTCTACCTGCAGATCGGTCTGACCATGGGGTCTGGCAGGCTAGGAGGAGGGGGCAAGGTGGAGCAAGATGAGGTGGGGGAGACAGGATGGGAGAGGCGGGGTGTGTGAAAGGGTAAGGGGGTGGTGGGGTGAGGGGGGCCCTAGGGGAGAACAAAGCCCCCACTGTTCCCACGAACCCATCAACTGAGGCCCAGGCGTGGCGCCCTGCCCTCTCCAGCTCAGCAGCCTGAGGGTGCGCCCGCACACACCTGTGAACTGCATAGTATGTGTCTGAGCTGGACTGATCATCTGGGGGAACCTGGGAGGGCAATCTGCACCCACTATTCACTAGCTCCATGACCTTCTGAAAGCCACATGTTCTTCCCAATCTCCATTTCCAAACAAGAGAAATGGGAGAAATGACACTTCCACATCAGCACAAGGCCTGGAAGGAACTGAGCCACCCGTGAAGTCCATGGCTCAGGGCCTGGTCCCAGCAGATGCTTTGGCAGCGGTGGCTCCATGGTAATCGGGGACCAGCCCCAATGCAGCCCCCAGAGCCAAGGGCAGGAGCAGCAAAGGGGGACTGTAAGGCCACCGGCCAGGCCATACCTTCACTCGTGACGCCCTCCTCCAAGTCATCACCCTTCTGTGGGAGGAGCAGAGAGAGCAGGATTAGGGCCCGGTCCCGGCCCCACCCACCCAGCCACCTCTGCCCACCAATAGCCACCCCAGGGAGGCACTACCCATGACAGCCCGAGCACCACTTCCTACTTTTCCCCATTTCCAGATTTCCGTAATATCAAAGTATTGCTGTTACTAGAGAAACAGAAATTTCATTTTTAAAAAACAAAAGCAAATGTAAAAAACTAAATAGGTTGTAGATTTTGATCCTCCCGAACGGCTAGAAAGAAAAATGGAAAAATGGTACAGCCTGGTTTTCTGGCCTGGGCTGCAAAGGGCAGGACCCCACTCATTGACACTCTTGAGGCTTTGGGGAAAGGCAAGAAGTCTGAGCTTGAGGCACCCCCAGGGTCCCCATGTGCACTGCTCTATGCAATGTCCACTTGCTGCCAGCTGCAGGGGCTCTGGGAGGACACTCTCCACACCAACGGCTGGGAACTGCACAAATCCTGGACAGACCACAGCCAGGTAGCTCACGGCACAGGGCCTCCCCCTTTGGCATAGAGGCTCTGTCCCTCTGGAAGCTATGTCCCACAGCCTCCTGGGATCTGCCCCAGCTTCTTCCTGTGGCCCAGATTCTGTCATTGCTGCCAGCTTCTGAAGAAGCCACAAGGTTCTGTGCACTCTTAAAAAAATTAAAATGGATCACACTTGATTTTATTTGGAGAATGCAGTGGTCTCTTGAGCACACGTGAAGACGGCCAGCTGGGGAAGTAACAAAGCCCTGGGCTGGACAAGGAGGCCTGGGCTCCTTCCTGGCTCCACAGCTGACCTGCTGTACAGACTTGCTGGAAAGGTACTGGGGTGTCCCTTGTAAGGTGAGGATTTGGCCCTTCTTGCTTCGTTTCTGTGAGAGAAACTATTTCTTTTCAAGGCATCCCTTTGTGAAAGATATCTTGGGGTGTGTTCTTCCTCCCCTGACACCTGGGTGGCTGCCTCACCTGGCAATGAGCGTCTTTGGAAAGCCTAGCCTTCCGAGGAGGTGGCCCAGAGCAGTGAGAGGGCTGAATTGAGGTGTGCTGTCCCAGTGTGGGAGGTGCCTAAGTCACCAGCCCACTGACAGCCAGGCTGACCCTATGTTTAAACAACTCAAGAGGCTATTCTGCTTGAGGGACAGGGCCTCCGGAAGAGGAGGCAGCTAGGAGCAAGAGATGAGTTGTCTCCAGTCTGGGGGAGAATCCAAATAGCCCACAACCTTGGGGCAGCCACTTCCCCTCCCAGAGTGCACTTCTTCATCAGCCACCTGCCAACCCCCACCCTGCCCCACCTGCCTCCAGGGCTGCTGAGAATGAAAGTGCCTTGTAAGGAACAAAGGAAGGGACCCGCATCCTGACCAGAGACTGCAGTTCTCCTTTCTTGGGACCTGTTGCCGTTTTCAGATTCATAATACCCTGATCTCTTAGGATGGAGACAATGGTGTTTGGGGAGGGATTCTTTTAAATAAAAAATATCAGAAGATATCAGGAAAGGGAATGACAGCGAATTAAAAACAAAACCAAACACCCAACTCATCTGTGAGTATATTTCACAATTTACAGAAACAAAAACACAAAAACAAAAACTCCATTTCCCACCACCCCCCAAAAAAGCCAAGCACACACATACATTGGAAATTGAAAAGAAACTGGGGAGAAGGCAAGTGTGTGTTTTGGAGACAGCTAGAGCTAGGTTCAAATAGCAGCTCTGCTCGCACTGGCATGGACGTCACCGCGGGGCTGTGAGGGGGAGAGAGGCTGTGCCCAGAGCCGGCCCCCATCACAGCTGGCCTCCACATGTAGCCATGGGCTGAGCTGGAGAGGAGGGTGAGCTGTGATGAGCTGCTGGCTGCAGAAGCTGTGCCTGCCCCAAACTCCCTCCTCCAATGGGGGCGTGACCGCTGCCAAAGTCCCTGGAGGCCTGTCCTCAGAAGAGCCTCTGCCTCTCCACACCCCACACACAAAATATAAAAGTCAAGTCTCACCAGGTCCGTCCTGAGCCACACCTCAATGTCGTCCATGACAGAGGGCTGCGCAACGGGGATCTATGGAGCGGCAAGCAGCGGGCCAGGCAGCCCCACACAGCCAGCAAGAGAAGACAGAACACCGGAACAAAGGAAATCGTCAAAAGCAACCCAAACAAAACCAAAATGTACACAGAGCAAAAACACAATGGGCAGGGCACACATGGGCAACACAGGGCAGCCACATATGAATGGCAGGTGAGAAAAGCAATGGGGTGCAAATTATAAGCAGCAGGCTGCCCGTGGGGCCACAGAGGGAGGAGCAGTACGTGTTCTTGAGATGGATAACTTTTTGACTACATGTGCCTGCCCTCTCATGGGGTCCCTCAGCCCAGGGCCGTGAAGCACCTTCTAGTCTCAGGGATGTACTGGTCCTGCCAGCTGACTTGAATTCGTCAGCTGTGACAGATGGAGGAGAACTGACTGCCTGCAGTCAAGCCCAGCACAATGTGTGACTTGGGGGAACAAGAGTGGGCCCCTAATGTCCACGGGAGGCCAAGGGGCAGCCTGCCCAGAGCAGGTGCAGTGCTCAGGATGGCAGCATAGTGCCAGCCCTGGGAGACATCGGGGGCTCTGTCTGCTCAGCTGAAAGTATTTCAAAATGTCCTAGGGCATGTCTGAGTGGAGGAGAGGGACACCCAGGGAGACACGTGCTCCATGGGCCTGGTGTGGCCTGGTGGACAGAAGGCAGCCACATTTTGCCACCAGCAGAAATAGCAAAAACGAGGGCTTTGATGACAAAATGGACTGCAGGCTTTAGTCTTCTTTGTGTCTCTTTAGGGGAAAAGAATCACGAAGCAACCCTGAATGCAACAGCTTCCTTTAGTCTCATCTTTTCTTCCTGGCTTTCATGGCTATCTGTGTCTCAGGAGTCAAAGAGAAGTTGCTCCACTGAGAACTAGGGAGAAGCAGCCAGGGTGCAAGGAAGGTGACTGGGCTCCCGAGCAACGGAAGACATGCCTCAGGGATGCCTGCGCAGTCGCCATGCCTGGGCCACCAATGCCAAGCACCTCGGGGGCAGAGATTCTGAAAAAGGCACATGGCTAAAAACATTTCAGTTGCTGTGTAATATGACGTGATAAGAAGTAAAGGTAACTTTTAATGAAATGTTGGCTCCCAGCCTAAAGAAATGAGGTGATGGCCCTTACCAAGGTGACCTGCCTCCTCGCCTACTCTGCATCTGGGAGGCACCTTCCAAGGGTTCACTTGCAAGCCCACCATTTCTAGAAAAAATGCCAGCCTGTGTCTATAGCTGGCTTCTACCCCAATGTCATGATCTAGAGTAAGAATAAAATTAAAATAGGCAGTAAAAGGATTGCCTCAATGTTTACCAAATCTAAAAAAAAAATGACCTTAACAAAGGAAAAGGGCCAGCCCGTGGCTCACTTGGGAGAGTGTGGTGCTGACAACACCAAGTCAAGGGTTAAGATCCCCTTACCGGTCATCTTTAAAAAAAAAAAACAAAGGAAATTGACATCTGCCGCCAGTGGGGTTGGAGGTGGGGCACCACGTGGAGCCTGAGAACATTGAGCAGGTGTCTGTGGTCCACCGCAGTGCCTCTCTCCCTCCCTCAGCAAGCTCAGCCACCCCCTCGCTCTGAGGAGCATGCTCTGCGCCCTAACTTCAGACTTAACATGGGCGGCCTGCACGAGCATTTTCAGAAAGGCTCAAGCCAACCACTGATCAGATTAGGAGGAGTCTGCCTATGTTGCTATTTTATTTCTTTGACTTAAGAACGCTGAATTGGGGTCGGCCCGGTGGCGCACTGCTACAGTGCGCCGCTTGGGAAGCCCGGCGGCGCTCCCGTCCGAGGGTTCGGATCCCACATATAGACCGGTTCCCGCTCACTGGCTGAGCGAGGCGCAGGGGCAGCACCGAGGGTTGCGATCCCGTTGCCGGTCCCTGGTCCGGTACGGGGGCAACACTGAGGGTTGTGATCCGTTGCCGGACACGGAAAAAGACAAAAAACAAAAACGAACAAACAAAAAAAAAAAAAACGCTGAATTGAAAAAACATCAGGGAGTTCTTACCCTGACATGGATCCTAGGGACAAAGAGCACATGATTACTCATGGGGGGAGGGACATGAATGCCCAATGGATGTGCCAACATGCCTAAGGCTGGCACCAACTTTCCCCATCAGAAAGCAGCAGGGCACACAGGGGCAACCTGTTATTCTGCACTTGTCGGCAGGCCTTCTGCCTTGACATGTTCCTGTAACAGGAGATGCCAGTTTGCATGATCTTGTGCCTGTAAGTCAGAATGCCTGGCCTCTGAGAGAATGCGTGTCACACCAAATCCCCAGAGCTGAAGCTTAGAAAGTCAGCCACATCTCCAAAGAGAAAATAAACCCTACAACAGCTGTTGCCATGTACACTGGTCCATTCTGCATACCTATCTAGCTTTAGTCTGCCCAGGAGGAACTGAAATTAGATGCACTGAGTTTTTCAATGTGTTCCAAAAGCTTGAAAAAAAGCCATTAAGGAGTCATGGGGCCTTAAGTCTTCAGATTTTCTTATAATTTTTTTGTTACTGTTAATAAAATAAATCCTTTGAGGCCTGGGATCATGTTCCAATTTTCTTCTTTGAGGATTAATCTGGAGAGACAGCATGCTCAGAAAATAAACATTGACATTTGAGAAAAATGTCGAAAAAAATTCCCCAAAAGCTGGATCATGGGAACACTGCACTTCCCTCCCCTAGAGTTTTCCAAACAAGCGGTATGCTTATGGGATGGCATGCTGCAGACCCCACCCTAGCAGCCAGGCTGAGGAGGGAGCGCTGGCGAGGAGTTGTGCCGGGCTCGCCGGCAGCGTGACCTGGGGCAGGCCGTTTCTCTTTGGACTCCAGTTTCTTCATTGGCTAGCTCCCGAGCCTCTTCTGTCTTAAGAAGCCTCGGCGATTTAGGTGGAGAGGCAGGAGCAGGGGACAGGGGCTTGGGCAACAATTGGCCTCGGTTTCCTCATCTGTGAAATAAGGTGATCACTAGGTTGTATTTAGCTCTCAACACTCATGACTCAGAATCCGTTAACTTCCAGGTTGGTGCTTCTGTTTTCTAATTCAGAAGCCCAGGGATGTCAGAAATTATTAGAATTGACTCCTTACAGTATGGAAGGCACTTGGCCTCAGGGCCTGAACCACTGTGGACCAGGGTGTTAGTTAACAGTTAAGCTTCTATAAGATAAGGCAGGGGTCAACTTTCTTGTGTGCATACACAAAACCTCAGCTATTTCAACCTCCTGCCCTGGTAAATAAATGCCTGGAGTATTACAATAGGGTAAAGTTCCTCCTAGTAGTGAAAGTGCTCTCAGACACAGACTGAAGGGCCCTGGCTAGAGAAGGGGGCACTGAACTGAGGCTTTGGGACGCCGTCTCTGCCCTGTGGCTGTGGGCAAGGAACCAGGCCCCTGAGAGGCCTCAGCATCCTCATCTGTCAAGCACAGAGCTGGCCCAGCAGATCCCTCAGAAGAGTGAGGCTCTGCCGTGTCATGGTTTTCACACTTCCTGGGCAAAAATCCAAGTTAAAGGCTGGTCCAAGGGGTCTGAAGAGGAATGTGAGTTGGAGGAAGGAGACAGAAAAGAAGGTGTGAAGAGAGAAAAAGAAAGGGAGCTAGCATGGAACACCCTCCAGTAGAGATCAACACCTAGAGCTCACTCCCCCTGAAGACAGGCAGGCAGGCTGGCTCAGCTGAGACAAGGATAAGACCAGCCCCGCCCATCTTGGATGTTGGCAGCGGTGGATTTTGATCTGAGGGGTGGGTGAGCTGCCCTGCTGTCAGCTGACTCTCACTTGGAACTGCAAGCAGGCCAGCTCTGCCTTACGGGTCAGTAGGGTTGCCTGCCCATGGGGAGAGCTGCTCCCACTGGCTCAGCCATAGCCAGCACTCTTTGTGACCCTGGGCTTGCTGTGTCTGGGGGTACTCCCAGGGTTACTGATCATCCGTCCTGAGCAGGAGGGGCCTTGGGGGCCTCCAGGTCTGAGTAGGGCATCCCACCTCCAACCTCAGGCCTGGGCTTTGGCAGAAGCACTCTTTTTACTAACCTACTTCTGTTCTTGTTTTGACATACATTTGTTCACATCAGGATGTCTTCCTGGCTGCATCCTGCACATGGGAGACAGCCCTGGCTGACCACCAGCCAGGAGAGGCCAGAGAGGGAGAGCACAGCCTAGCAGTCTTCCTGAGAGTCTGGCTCCCTGGCGCTGACTCAGGACAGATCGTATTCCTCTTCAGCTGGCTGTGAACCTGGTGCTGTTAACTTTTGTGTTGGGATTTCCAAACACTTGAAGTCCCAGGAGAGTTAAGGTCCCCGTCAGATGCTCCTCTGCAGCTTCCCACAGCTCCAAGCCCACAAGGAAACCTACCTGTCTGGTTTTAATGCAAGAGGAGTAATTGCTATAGCTCAGGTATGCTATTTCCAGAGAAGGTGTAAAACTCCCCCTAGCCAACGGGAGGAATAATCTAAAAGCTTTTGGTCTCACTCAATAGTACAAAAAGTTTCCAAATAAAGAATTTGTACTCAGGAGGTTTGGAAAGACTCAGGGTTTCTACACTATGGGAAATAAGGCAAAGCAATTAATATACGTTGTTTTAATGACAAAAAAAAAAAAAAAAACTGCAGTCAGGCAAGCAGACACTGGGTTAGAGGTTAGTTGGGTTTGTTTCTGGGAAGTTGGAGACTGGAGCTCTACGTGGGGACAGGGCAGTGGGGAGGCAGCCTGTGTGGGCAAAGCCAGGCGCCGCCACCAGCTGCCAAGGCCACACTCAGGGTACTTTGTGTGGGCAGTATCCTTTTTTGCAGGATTAATAAGCACAGGACACACAGGCTGGATCTTCCCAATTTGGACAACGGAATGGACAAGGTCTCCAAGATCTCTGCTCTAAGGTCACCCACAGATGTGGGCAAGGGTTCAGCCTGTCTCTGAAGAAGCAAATGAGGGACCAGGGCCAGCCCATCTCTCTAAGAATGGCCTTGGGGTCTGGTGCAAGAACTGCCTTCTCATCCAGAGCAGGAGTGTGCTGTTGCTATGACACGTAGAGGGAGACCTGCCTGGCCTGAGCCTGGCTGTGCAGAGAGCACCAGCGCAAGCTGGGTGGCAGGCATACAGTCTCACCTCCATGGTTCTAGGTGGTCCCTCTGGCCCAAGTCCTTGCTTGCTGCTCAAGCAGGTGGCTCCTATGCTGCCTGCAATCTGGGCCCTGCTGGCCCCTCCCCTGGCCATAGCCTGGCACCATATCCAGGCATGGCCACGTGTCTCCCCCACCCTACCCCACTGGTTTCCTCATCTTTCCTTCTCTGCATTCTCTCCTGCTCTGGCCCCACCACACTTCTACATAGCTTTGGGCTCTGTTAGAGGTGAAAAGGCCATCCCAAGGCAAGTGGACTGGGAGGTGGTCACCCTTTCTCCCTGCAACAGGCTCAGGGCCACCTGAACAGACAGGCAGGAAAGACCCTCTCAGGTCTCTGAGCCAGAAAGTTCCACTACACGAAAATTAACTGCGTTTATGACATTGAATTCCCCTGACTTTGTTTTCTTTTTATTCTGTTCCTATTGTATTTGTGTATTTCTTTAAGAGGTTTCACAACCTTTTGGGGGACTTAGTGGACACAAAAACCTTCATTACAAAAACCCATCGAGCCTCAGACTGCCAAATTCACAGCCACTGGGCTAGAGAGGGCTTCTCTGACTGGTCAGATGCTTTGAGTCTGTTCTCTTAGAAATGTCCCCTCCCAAGCAAAAGCCACAGTAACTGGTGCTCATCCTGGAAAAGTGAATGCTGCTGAGAGCTCCAGAAACAGGAAAAGGAGAGAAGGGACCCTCCCCTCACCCTCGCTAATGTTGCAGACCCTTAAGGCCCAGGGGCATGGACCTCAGCAGAAAACCAGAGGAGGTGTTTCTGTGACTTAAGGAGATTACACAAAGGTAGGTTGGGAATTTTGGCACCCCCATCAGCAAGAGAGTGTGGCCTTGTACTGTCTGATTCACAAGGGCTCAGCAGTCACAAAAGGAAGGCATAAACTGTTATGCAGATAAGAGGCTGGGGTGGACAGTGGCGCTCGGCTTGGCTGGTGACTCCTCACCATTCCTTGGGTTATGAGCCAGCTGTCTATAGGCTCCAGGTCAGAGTCCCCACCTTTACCTCTCTTCCGGGCCGAGGACAGAAGAGTCCCAGAAAGAAAAGTCACAGCAAGACCCATGATAAAAAAGTCAATAGTGCATACTGTGGTAATAGAAAAGTCACTGTTCAGACTTGATTGTCTGTCATGTAAGGAAATGTGACCCGATATCCCTACCCTCAACCCCCACCCCTGGCATGTCCCTCTTACCTGCCTGGAAAAGAGAAGTTTAGTAACCAGAATCCCAACAGGATAACATATACTCGTGCAGACTACTCCTGGATACCTGGAAAACCTCCGTGAGGTCACAGAAAGTTGACCAGGGCTGCCTCTCTTGATTAGGGCTACTAGGAATGGCAGGGGTCAACTTTTCATCTTTTTCTAAGCTCTTTATTGCCTTTTCTTAAATGATAAAAGTATCAAAGGCTAAGATGACTGATTTATTTGGATTTGATTTGTGGAGGTACAGCTACAGAATTTTCTCCCCTTCTATAATGTGTTCTTAGTTTCTCCCTTGGCCCAGTTTTCACTTTCAGGTCAGAAAAACTTGGGATGGGACAGGTAACCTGAAGCAATGCACATGCCGAAGTATATGTGTGCACACATGGACGCACACAGCCAGCGTGTGCCCTGACGCCCTGAATTGCTGGGGCTGTGGCCACGGCATTGCCCACTGAGCAGCACATATGAAAAGCAATTTGCCTACCACCATATGGAAAACCGGCTAGAGTCACAAAGACCCTTGAAAACAGGGAGGCAGTCCAAGCCATGTACCAAAAGGGTGAAGGATGGGAAGTCACCCACATCTTGTGGACTCGGACCCAGGCCTGGACACTGATAACAGAAGGGGTGCGGCAGGACACCCCTTGGCATGGACAGGGCAGGTACTGGAGCCAGAGTGGGGAGCAAATGAGGTCAGCCTGGCTGAGGGACAGGGATGCTCCTAGGCCAGGCCAGGGCCAGCCAGGAGAAGAAGAGTTCCTCATTAGGCAGTGTGCTGCCAAGCCCCCAGCCTGGCTCTCTAATGCCCTCCCTGGGTTAGATCGGAAGACATCCTAGGAAATGGGAGAAATAGAAGCATGGCCATTCCATAGGTTTTGGCCATCCCAGTCTCAGGGGTTCGCATGACACTGCCCATCCCATGTGTGGACAGACAGGATGCTTGAGAACCCAAGGCCAAAGCAGGGGTTGGCCCAGCCAGCTGGCTCTTTTGTGCCCCCTGGCGGCCAGTGAAGAGGGACACATGCTCTCAGATCAAGTTGGCTGGGCCAGCAGGGGATAAGGAGTCCCTTCCCCCGAGGGTGACCTTTCCCACGGAAACCAGGCCTCAGCACTGCTGCCTGCCTTGACCCATTTGCACAGGGGCTGCAGGAGGCCAAGAACTGATATTTGGGAAGCAAACAACCCTTTGCAGACCTCCCTGTCCAATGTACAGATGAGCACTGCCCCCTTCTAGCACAGCAGAAGGACCCTGACAGGAGTTCCAGTTGCTGTGGGCAGCTGTCCCAAGAGCCCTACTCCCTTCCCCTGAAAACTGATATGTTCGCACACATTTCTTAGTTGGGCAGAAAAGGGGAAAATCTCATGAGAAGCTTTAAGACAAATCCTTTCCCCTTCAGTACTCAAATCTCACAGAAACAATGGCTGCACCTGGGGGCTCAAACAAGCACCATCCTCCATTTCAAAGTGCCTCCTTCTCTGGCTTTACTCCCTCCAGACACGGAGCTTCCCAGAACACCTTCCTAGCTACCACCCAACTGCTCCAGCTCCCCAAACAAATCCTGACCCCCAACTGCCCTCTAAGGGGTTGGTACTGCTTTGCTAGGCCAGCTACAAATGCTCACCAGAGATGTGACTTAATCAGCATTTTCCTTCCTTGTGAGGGTCATGATTTAGTCAAAGTGCTGCCCACCCCCAGGGCACTGTACCATGTGAAGACAGATCCTGTCTGGCCGTAGGAGAGTGCTCAGGGCCACCAGGGTAGGAAGAGAAGGGGAGCTGAAGTCAGACACTCCTCAGATCAGGTCCCTGCTTGCTGTCTGCTCTCTGGGTGTCCCCCGAACCATCTCCCACCTCTCTGGATCTGTTTCCTCTTGGGCATCATGGTAAAGCTCACCCAGGGTGTCACTTCACAGGGTGGGGTGAAGATTCCATGAAGCACTACCAGATGGCATACCAGGTCTCTCCCCCAGCATGTTCTGTCTGCTCTTTGCAAGTCACCTTCTGCAGAATTATTCAGCTAGTTTTACCAAACTGCCTGACTTTCCCTCCAGAAGACTCCAGGCAGAAAAATAGGGTTAAAGACCTACCATTTCTGAGCTCTGTTTTCGACTGTCTAGTGCAGTAGTGAGTCCTCCTACAGCCTGGGGATCCTCATAGGTTACTCTGGAGATGAAGCAGCATAAGCAGAGTTAGTTCTCCCCCAGTGGTCACCGGGGGTGGGACGAGACAGTGACCTGTAATCACTTTCTATCCCATCGTACCTTCCTTAGACATCTTTGGAAAAATGTTTCCTGTGAACTTGTCATTGGGCAGAGGCTAAGGGCTCATGCTATCTGTTTTCCTGTAGCTAAAGCTACAAGACCTGGGTTCTAGCAAGCTCAGCTGCTAATCTTCTCTGGGATCTGGTATGTTGTGCACCTCAACATCCCTGTCTTGAGTAACAACACTGGTGCATCTCTGAAGCTCAAGTACAGGATGTCAAAAGTGCCCTGGAACTCCTGAGAGGGATGGGCTAGATAAAGGCAAAGTATTACTAATTCTTATTTTATAAGCAGCAGCCTCAACAGCATTGGGAAAGGAAGGTAGTCTCTAGGATTGAGGACTGTCACTGATTATGGAGGGTGTCTTCCTCTGCTTTAGCTATATGTTTTACAAGCAACTAACTTTTGCTGGTGAAGGGTGCATGGGGCCTTGGGTTTCTGGTCATCCTGTTGAGTCCTGAGCAGGATACAGGGAGCTGAAAGCACCAAGATGCTGGATCCCTGGGAAAGGTGGGGAAAAGTGTTTCTCACTCCTCTCTAGGCTGAACAGAAAGCTCAAAGCATGTTCAGTGCCTCCCTGAGATGCCGGAGGTGTCTATTTTGGAATAAACTCCCCCAATTCCATATGGTTCATCCTTGCCAGAGCTGCTGTCAGAGAAGTCTCTGCCCTGAACAGTTTTTAGGCAGGAAAATCTTGCTGCTAGGAACCTATTTCAGTCCCTGCCTCTGAGCTCCTCCGGCAGATGAGGGGATGGACGACTCAGTGTCTGCAGCAGCAGTGTGGGGAGGAAAGAGAAGAGAAAATAGTCTCTTGTGACTGACAGGAGAAATCACACCACAATCAACCCCAAGGTTGTGGGTAGGTAGCATTCATTCAACATATACATCTAATGCCAAGTCCTCACAGCCATATTTTAAAGTTCCTGGCAGTAAAGTTCCTGGTAAATAAAAGGCCTATTTGTGTTGGCCTGTGACCTCTTTGTGTTGGCTTCTTTATGTTGGTCAATCACCCCCCACCCCCCAATATCTTTAGACAGCTACTGGAAGGGGCCCCACATACGTCTTGCGCTGCTCAGCCAAGGAGTTCCCTCTCGTCTGGGCAAACATGTCAAAGCCATCATGGGGATTACATTGCTGGAGTGAACTGAGGGTGCCACTGACGCTCTCTGTCCCCAAGTCTGTGGCAACAAAATAAATGAGCAGCAGATGAGAACAAAATGTGGATTGTGGACTTGATGGAGGGCTCCAAAGCTAGGGTGCCAGCAAGTAGGTTAAGGTTCTTTGGGGGTTGGGGTGAGGCTTTCATTAGAATTCTCAGTGTACAACATGCAGGAGGAGCCAGGGCAGCCCCAGATGGAGGACAGAACAGCTACTGCCCCCCAAGCTGCTCTAGGAGGGGACAGTCATCATGGACAAAAAGGAGATTGCTGGTGGCAAGAAGGCAGGGACCAGGGCCACCGCATCTGCAGATTTCCCACAATGCCCTTCTCAGGTGGGCCCCTCCTGAACTCAATCACAACGCCGAAGGACCTGGGTCATTACTTATTTAGCAAATATTTCTTAGATACCCACCATATTCAGAGGTAGATCTCAAGTGGACCAAATTGAATCTAATGTGGTCCTTGGCCTCAAGAAGTTCACTGAGTAGGTGGGAGACAGACAAACAGCAGCAGGGCTTGGTTTGCGATATCGGGTAAGACCGGAAACCACCACAAGAGGGGTCTTTAAGGATGAGTGGGAGTATGCTGGGAGGAGACGGGGAAAGGCAGGTACAAAGGCACAGGTCTGGAAGTCCAGGATGTGTGAAGTGAGCAGTGCTTACGGGGAGAAATGAGTGGAGGAGGTGCCTGGAGAAGCAGGTGGGAGATAGCTGGCAAAGAGCCTCAAATGCCAGGAGTTGGTGGGGAAAACACAAAAAGTTTTTAAGAAGGGAGGCAGCAGAATCAAATTTGAATTTTAGATATTAAATCTGGTGGCCATATGCTGGATGGACTGAAGGCAGAGAATCTGTTCCAATAGAGAAACACTGGCTACAGATATATGAGATATTGAGAAGCTGGAATTACAGCAACCAACGGGCCACTAAATAAAGGCTTAATTCAATTGAAATGAAATTAAGGTAGAAAGAGAAATATCAAGAAAAAAAGAAAACAGAAAAGCAAGATAGAAGAAAGAATTCTGAGGGCCATGTTTATTAATTATTTCAATATTATAATTTTATTTGTTATCAACTGGTATCATCCAGAATAACTGAAGCATGTAGAGTCATATACACACTTTCAAATTGAACAGACTATGGAAAAGTGGAGTTTCCTCTAAGTTTCAGACAATGGGCCACTTTAGGTTGATTTGATGGTGTATGTAGAGGGGAGCAAACACGTCAGTGCCACCCCTTTCTGTTTCTAAGCTCACTGCAGACATCACCAATCAATCAAGACTCGGCTTCTAAGCCCTGATGTGGCTTCACTATCTTTCTCGAACCTGTGTTCCAAGCAGCCAGTGAACTGAAACCTATTGGCCATACTTGGTCCCATTAATATTGAAAAGGAAATCACTTCAACCATAAGGAATATTCCAGATAAAACACGGCAGGTTACCTTTCTTTACAAAGGAAATGACTTTCAATTCCTTGGAACTTCCCCCACCCCTGATTTCCAACACAGGTTTGAACTTCAAACTTAGAAAACGAAGTTATGAACTAAAGTTGGGACAACTGGCCAGGACTCAGGAATAAACTTTCATGTGGATTCCCCAAAAGGCTTTCTTTCAGGGCTTCCAACAAAGAGAGAGAAGTGGCCTGCAAAGGAGGTTAGTGGTAGGGAGGCCCTTTCTGCCCCTATGAGACACTCACCCAAGCCTGCAAGCTGGGAGGAGAGGGAGGATGGGGGCGCCGTGCTCCCCACCATCGGGCTCACCACAGCTGGAGAGCCCGGCCCCAGGTCTATTAAGTTGTCTTCAGTCACTTCATTCAGTACCTGTCAGAACACAAGATTGGCAGTAAGCCCCAGAACCTTGTGTCAGGCTCTGAGGTGGAAGTCGGCAAGCAACCGCAGTGTTCTGAGTGGAAAAGCGTCAATGCCGCCCCAATACAGTGTGGTGAAGCACACTCCCTTCCCCGCCGGGCGCGAGAAGGCCTTGGCTGTCCATGAGCCCTTGCCCGCTGGCCTCCTCCCCTTCCTCACCTGAAGGAGGCAGTGCTGAGTCACCAGTGACTGCCCGGGGAGCTGTAGACTTGGGGCTTCCTTGCCACCCTCCTGTTAGGGTGCCTGCTAGCTCTTCCCTAGTATCCCATCAACCAGAGCTTACTCTTCAATCACCCAAATATTTTAACCCCAGTAGAAAAACTGGAGGTGAGGCCAAACTGAGGCAGGTCTCCTAGCCTCCATAATGTGGAGGGGTAGGCCTGGCCTCAGGAGATGAGAAAATTCTGGAGGAATACTTACTCCATTACTGGCATTTTGAACTGATCGGCCCGACCTGTATCGTTCGAATCTAACAGGGGAAGAGAAAGCAGAAGTAAGGAGGGAGGGATGCCCATGCCATGGCCCTGGGGTGCTGCTCACTGGTCCTGTGAAGAGCTCCTGGACTGAGCAGAGTCAGAGGCTCCTGGGGAGGAGGAGACAACTGGGGGGAGTGGGCCCACACACACACAATTCTGCCACACCTTCCTCTGCATGGGGCTCCCCTAGATGATCAACCTTCCTGTCTCTCACACAGCACCCCAAATTGGTTGTCAGGGAGGGGGAGTTGGTTGGCAGAGTGAGGAGGCCACCATAAGCACCCTCAGCTGTCTTCTCACATACCTGGGCCCAGAGATCTCCTCTTGCCCCGAGAGGGGAGGCTGGTCAACCGCTTTACCTTGGGTCATCTCAAATGTCTATCTTCAAAGCTGGGCAATAACTGCAGACCCCTCCCTATTTCACAGAGCTGTGCTGGGGAGCAATTAGTTAGTGCTTCCAAAATGCCCCCAACTCAACCTTTGAAGGAAAGGGGGCAGGGCACACATGGGACAGGCACCAAGAGGAGGAAGACAGGCACAGGGCCCTCGCTTTGGCCTAATAGCTGCAGAGAAGTTTGGGCCAACCATGGAGGGGCTGCTGGGAGGGCAAGGTAGGCCTGTCTGCAAGGCTCCTCTGTACCCATCTGCTGGCTGCAGATGGGACTTAGCTTTGAGCAAGTGCAGGAAGCCTCTCCTCTCCCATACCCAAGTCATCCTCATCTAGGCAGGTGAGAGCAATGGTGAGGTGTGTGTAGGGATTGCAGGAGATAGATCATACTCTGCATATTAAAACGCTCCAAAACACCATGGGCAAGGAGGTAGCTAATATACTTTTTCCAGATGAAGTCGGAAAAACCAGCTTTAGTGAGGCACGTGGCTCCACATTGTCTCCCAACTTGCTGAAGTCAATGCCTGGTGACAAGGGATCCCCAGAAGTGATGATCTGGTTAAGCAGTACACACTGCTTAACCACTGTGGTTTTAAGAAAGACTTATGTGGTTTTTCAACAGTGGTCTAGAAGGACAATAGGAATATTAATATATCTGAAAAAATTTTAATACTGGGTACCTATCCCACACTCTCTTTGAGAGATAGTCTTATCAAAGGCACTCTAACCAGGACGGCACCTCAAGGCAGCTGGCCCCAAGGCTTGTAATGTTGGGACTGGTAGACTCTTGGGTGAAAATGGCCACATTAGCCACTATAATCCTAAAGGTTTGTTTGTTTCTTTCTTTCTTTGTTTTTGGCAGCTAGCCAGTACAGCTCCTATTATCCTATTCTAGCAAGGGCTTAAATGGGCTTAACAGGTTAAAATCCAAGCCCATTTAATATAGAAAAAATGGAACCACATGGTAAGACAAAGGGGCCTCAGGCTGGGAGTCAAGGCTCTCAGATCTGCTTCTGTTCTCCAACTGACACAGTGGGGGCCCCTGGGTGACTACACACTCTTACTGCAGAGGTTTCTTCACCTGTCAGAATGACACAGAGCCACCCATCCCTACTTCTACAGTTAAAAGCTGAGACAAAGCCTGGGGTTGTGACAGCCACATCAAAATCACCCTTTAAGTCCTCAAAGAGTAATGCAGATGCAAGTATCTGCCCCACTGACCCTAACTGACTCCCAATCAATCCACACAGTAAGCTGTGAGTCAGCTGGTGTGCCAGAGGGGGCCAGGACCTCAAGTCTCCAGGAAAGTCAGGCCACTGTCCCACCCTCTCAGGCAGTATCGCAGTATCTTTAAGGGGAGAAGGTTGGCCTGTACAAGGTCCTTTCTGGTTCCAACATTGGGTCACTCAGGAAAGCCTGAGGTGCACCCATAAGGATGATGAGATAAGAACTGTTTTTGCCTTTCTTATACCTCCTATTTAAAACTAGGTCTAAATAAGACTTCGTCCTGAGAGAAGGCTTTGGGAAAGGAAAAGAATTTGCGAATTTATTACCTCAAACCCAAAAATGATTTGGCTGCAGAAGGAACTGAACTGAATGTGTGTGTGTTTCCCTAAGAAGCAGCATTCCAGCACTTATGCTCTGCCTGCTTCTCCTGAATGCCCTAGGCACACTGGCATTTGCAAAGGGCAAAGCTTTTTTTCTTTTTTTAAAGATGGAAAAGAGGAAATCCCTGTTCTTCAGAGATTTTTTTTCCCCTTTAATTCTTTTCAAATTGAAAGGATCATCAAAGGAGCAGGTGCAGAAGCTCCTAACCCAGACCCCCCAGTCCTACCCCTCCCTAGGGCTGGGGGTGGTAGGGGCAGTGGGAGAAAGACAGATAGAGGCTTACAAAGAGCAGAGCCTCATTCTGCATGTCAACTTCCTGCTGCTTGTTCCCAGTAGAGTAACCAGCATTTCCCTGTTTTTCTGATGAGTATTTTCCAACTCCTCTCTCTCTCGCTCCCGCCCCCCCCTCCCCGTTTATGAAAGAAGCCCCTCTGTTATGGCAACAATCTTTTCAAGGTAAAAAAAGAACTCTGGCTCCCACCTCTCATATCGGAGGAAAACATTGTTGAGGTCATCATTGACGTGCAGCAGCTCCTCGGTGACCTCTTCATTGGACACACGGGAGATGAGCTCCACGATGCGCTGCTGCATGGCCCGGCAGGTCCTGTTCAGCTCCTAGAGAACACATGCACAGCTGCAGAGTCTGCTGGGTATGTTTTGGTCACATTCTACTTCCTTTGAAAAACTGTACTGATTCTTAAAAGTCACAAAAGGAGTACATGCTTGCTCATAAAACCAGATGTGTGCAGAATGCAAAGCAGAAGGCCCCTCCTCAGGCCCTTGAGGAAACAAGTACTTTTTTAGTACAATAGACAAATGTCCATACATACATACATACATACATACATACAGCTGGATGTACATCAGTACGTTTGTACAAATCATTTTTAAAAATACAGAAATGTAATTCTTTGCAGCCTGCTTTTTCTCTTCAACAAAATATTCCAGACACCTTTCCTCCTTACTTTGTATAGACTGCCTTGTTCCTTCGTGTATGTATCATAACGTATTTTACTATTCTTCTATTGTTGGGTATTTAGGTTGTGGTCTCTCTTTTTTTGGCCAACCCAAATAATGCAGCAATGAACATTTGTATGCACACATGCTCATACACTTGGGTAAGCACTTCCATAGGAAGAGTTCCTCAGAAGCAGAATTTCTGGGTGAAGGGGTATAGTCATTTAGAATATTGACTGGTAATAGTAAAAGGCTCTCCAAAAAGACAGTATCAGTTTACTTATACTCCCAGGACCAGCATGATTGCATTAGGTACATGTTGGTGGCATGGCTGTCACCTTGTGAGAGCTCAGAAGCTCAGCAAGCTCCCACAGAGTTCCATGGCTAGCCAAAGATGATATTTGTGCACCCCAGTCACCACTGGAGCCCTCTCTACCCTTAGAAGTGATGTCCCCCTGAAGACAGAGTCTTGTCACATTATGGCCTGGCCTCCATGAGCCTCACCTCCTCCACAATGCAGCCCTACTGATGCTCTTGTTTAAACTGCTTGTGAACTTTCTCAAATATCTGCCAGGCTCCTTGCCATCCAGAGGAGGGGACTGGCAGCCCCGCCAGGCTGGCCGCTCAGCATCCCTGACCACAGGAGCTGCCTAGGAACAAAGTGCCAAGTCCCAGGACCATACAGGGTAAAAGCAGAGGCAAAATGCTGTCCCCAGCTACATGGACACTGGAGGGAGCTGACGAGCCGGTGAGTTAAGGGGCTAAGGCATAAAGAAGTCCTCACAGCTCAACCTCAATACCACCTCTTTTGAAAATGTTTCTGGTGGAAGTAACTATCTATTCACAGCAGATATAGGCAATCGCTGTTTAAGTTCCTCATTTTATGTCACAATCTGACTAGCTTGGCTGGAAGGTCTTCCCTCCTACCAGGTCATAAACTCCTTGAGGGGGTGTTGTCACTCATCCACCGTGGATGCCCTTCAGCCCTGCACCGAGCCACACACAGTGAAAAAGCCCAGTAATCATCTGCCAAATCGGATCACCAAGGTGGTGAAACAGCAAAGTAGAAAATGGAGGGTGCCCCTTCCGCATGCTCCCGGGTACTCTGCCCCACAACACGCTCTAGAGAAGATCTCTCTCCTCCCTGTTTCCCCAGTACCCATACCTGACACATAGGAGGCACTGCCCAAGTGCTTCTGAGAGAATTAATTAATGAAGGTAAGTTGCATTCCTTCCATCTGTACTCATCCAAGGTATCAAGATGGTGTTCCCTAACACACACACACACACACACTCACACACACACCCCACTTCACTGCCAAAAGGACATGTGTGTCCTAGGCCTGATCCTGCAGGTAGGAGCAAGGTGAGGATCCCAAAAGACCTGCCCATCATAGAGCAAATCAGCTCACAGCCAGGCAAATACCAGGCCTGGCTAGCCTGCTTCTGTTGTTTCTCCTGCCATGGCTGCTCAGCCCTCAGCAGCTCCTGCCCTGAAAGTGGGGGCAGCAGATGAAAGAAGCCTGGTCCATGTGGCTCAAACCAGAATCACCCTTCCTACCCGACTAGGTGCTTCGGGTGACTGCTTCCAGGAATCATCCCAAGTCACAGCAGCCCAGCCGGGTAACATTCCTACCAGCAGGAGAGATGCAGAAAGGAGTAGGGATCAGAAGCTGGGGCTGGAGGGGGGAGGAGAGGTCAAAGATAGTTTATGTAAGGTTTCCATTCAGGCAGTCTTGGGAACCTTGACTCTGAACCCTTGGTCCCCTCAAGCCACCAGCTCCTCACCAATGTTCTGTCTCAGTTATCCACATAAGCTCAGTTTTCTTGCCAGCACTCTCAGAGTATGGGGAATTCTTGTTCATCTAAAATCTAATTTTCCCTCTCTAGGACTCATCCCAGGCCCCAGTGAACCAGAAGTAAGCATTTACAAACATACAGACAAGTGTTAGAATTAATAATAAGAGAGGAACATATTAATTGCAGAGGACACTAATATCCAGTAAAGAGTAAAGCACCACAAAATGCACATTGTCTTTCACTGTGAATGGCTCCTGTCCCAGACCAGCCAGAAGAGAGGCGATAGGGAACCTGGGCCTTGGAACCTGCCTGGTCTCGGTTAGTGAGGGACTGCCGCACAGTCACTGCTACAGGTGCTGGGGACACTCAACAGATTAAACCCGGTCACCACTGAGACAATCACAGTACACATCCTAATACAGAAATGAAGTGCACTCATGAGTGATACTAAACAGTAAGCCAGGCCCTCAACACTAAAACAAACACGAAAATTTAAATGTCCAAACTCCCAAAAGAAGCAATCACATTAGATCATGGGAAGGATTCAAGCAGCTAGGACCGAAATGCATGATGTAAAACAACTACAGTACTTCTAATACATTGTTAAAGTGCAGTGAGCATCTACTTAGGGCTGACAAAGGAGCGTGGATTTAAGTTAACTTGAAAAGACCACCCTCCTCTGCTACCTGAAAGAACAAAAGACACTTGGCCAACACTTGGGCAGCAGATTTACCCAGTGCTTTGGAAAAAACACTAGAAGGAGACCTGGCCAAAGAACACAAAATGGAAAAGTGGGAAAGCTGGAGCCATGGGCAGGGGAGGCTGGGCAATGGGACAGAGGACAGAGTTGAGTATCTGCCTCTCTGCTGTCTGCCATGGACCCTTCCAGGGCCCCTGCGCATGTCTCCTCCCTCCCTGGATGTGCGTATGCCTGGGTACATGAGGACTGGCCAGGCAGTGTCTGAGCTCCTTCTCCCTCCAGTACTCTAGGTGTCTGTGGAAAATCTCTGAGCAAAAGAATCTAGAGTCCCAGCTCAGGGTCCGCTCCCTCTAGCAAAGGCAGACCCCACCAAATAGGCCCAGTACAGAAAAGTGGGGCCTCTGTCTGGTGCTTGTGGCCAAGCAGCAAGCTCTGGCTGCCCTTGGGTGGGGACGGAGAAGGAAAAAAGTTAGTCACTTCCCATCCAAACTGCAGGCCAATTACAAAGCACAGGACCTGCAAGTCAGGGGAGTGTGCAAGCACGTTGTGGGAAACAGGTGTACGGTCTCACCACCTAGAGCCCTTGGGCAATCTTCAAACATACCTCACACTTACCAGGATAGCAGGTGGCCTCAGGCACTTGCCACACTGCTCAGGGGCTCCTGAGAAGTCAGCCCTCTGCCTGCAACATCCCTTACCTTCTTTTCCATAAAACAAACTCCTGGGCCGGCCCGTGGCTCACTCGGGAGAGTGCGGTGCTGATAACACCAAGGCCATGGGTTCGGATCCCATATAGGGATGGCCGGTTGGCTCACTGGGTGAGCATGGTGCTGACAACACCAAGTCAAGGGTTAAGATCCCCTTACCGGTCATCTTTTAAAAAAAAAAAAACAAACTCCTACTCATCCATCAAGACTTCAAGGTATTTCCCCACCCCAGTATTTCATCATAAAAATTTTCAAACACATAGCAAAGTAGAAAGAATTTTACAGTGGACACTCTATACCCATCACTTAGATTCTACCAATAACATTTTATAGTGCCAGCTTTACCTCATTTATCCATCTCCCTGTCCACCCAGCATGTTTTCTGGGAACCCCCAACAGCCTCTCCCTCCTCAAGAGTCCAGATAGAAGAGGGCAAGGGCTAAGCTCAGTCTCCCCCACAGAGCCCTAGCCCCAGCTGGGTGCTGGTGACCAAGCATGGGCAGCAAGAAGCCCACGACTAGATACGCTCTCCAAGTCCTCAGTACTCTCTGGGCCTGCTTCTCCCTATGTAAAATAAGGGGTTGGACACACAAGGAAGTTCTGCAGAGTGCCATCGAGGGGACTCAGCAGCCTCAACAGCATGGGGGCACCCCCTTCCCGCTGTAGCAGCCAGGGAAGCGCTGCTTTTATCTATTCTAAACATTGCCGTTCACTGTAGAACTCTATTTGTGGAGGAAAGGTTCCATTGCTTTCAAAAAATGTTTGGGAAGTGCTAGGTGATTTCTGAGGCTCTAACACTATGATCTTGGCTTGAAGGAAGAATGAGACCTAAGGACATACATAGAAAGTAGCAATCTCATGAACTCTCAGCACCAGAAACATCTGCTTTGGCCCTGCACTTGCTGCCTCTCTCCCCACTGTCCCCAGCCCCTTAGCTCCAAATCCTGGAGGAGCATCCCAGTGGCTTTCCAAAGAACTATGCCTAAAGATAGACCCAAAGACTCTGGCCTGTGGCCACTGCATCAGAGATCTCCAGGGGTCTCTGCACAGACAATTTTTCCACCTCCCGATTTCAACCTTTTAAGTTACAGTCTCAAAAAGAAGAAAAGAGACAAAAGGCAAGAGGAGGATCAGTCATTCAGATTTCTGCCACCACCACACCAGCTGGCTGCTCACATGGCAGACTCAGCTGGGAAACTGTCCTTTGCCTCCCTCTCCTATCTCCAAACCACTCAGAGCGACTCTCTTCTGGGCCTCAGACACAAGAGCCTACAGCTTGCCTCGGTCACTCTTTCCACTGTGCAACAGCTGAAAGACTGGGACAGGAATTTCCTAAACATTAAAGATTTCAGCTTTGGCCTCATATCTCTAGCTCTCAATAGAGGGGAAGAACAGCTGGTCACTCTGTGCAAAATCCCTCCATCTATCAGAACACCTTATCAAATATCCTCTCTTTTCTGTCTCATTAATTCCAATGCCTTTATCTTTTCCTCAAGAGATATTCTCATCCCAACCTCATAAAACAGTCTTTTAACCATCTTTATGGGTTTCCCCCGAACCCTCTCCAAGTTTGAAGGAACACGGAATAAGGTCCTGAAGATCTGTTTTCTATTGCTGCAAAGGAAATGGGAGGAAGAAGAAAGTCCTTGTTGACTAGAAAGGGGTAATAATGAAGTTAAACATGTAAAATAAACTAGATTTCTCTAGAGAAACGGCCTTAGTCATTCTGTCTTTGTTGAAGTGAAAGGCAAGAAGCAACAGGGGATGCACCATCTTCTACTTGAAGAAACAGTGAGCAGAACAGCTTCTTCTATTATCTGATAACTGCTCATATAAGAACATCCATTTTTGGCATCATTGGATTAATTAAAAGTTATTATCAATTGAAGGCAAAGCTCAAAAGGCTAAATTGGGAGAGACAGAGGGCACTGGGAGACAGAATCAGGATCTTTAAAGATCCCAGAAAGCTGCACTCAGGCTGCAGCCAAGGGCATGCACTATAGCAGGGAGAGATGCAGAGTCTCGTATTTCAGGTCCAGACTCAAGTGTTCATGCACAAGATGAGGAAGATAGGGCTGAACAGCCACACAGGAGATGGAGCAGGGTTTTCCATTTGACAGTGTCAGCCTCTTATGAAGAAATGCCTCTTTATCTACAAGGTGGGCTACATTCAAAGACCTACTCATGTGAAAGAGGAATTAGTTTTGTTCTGTTGTCTAAGGAGACAGACCAGGGTCAAAGTTACAGGGAAACAGACTTTACTTTTTTTTTCTTTTGGCAGCTGGCTAGTATGGGGATCGAAATCTATGACCTTAGTGTTGTAAGGTTGCGTTCTAACCAACTGAACTAACTGGCCAGCCCCGAGACAGACTTTAGCTCAGTGCATGAAAGGCCTTTCCAACAGTAGTCACGGAAGCTGCGATATACAGGGGACTCACCTGTGCCCTGCTCTGTGCCAGGACTTCCAAGATGAGAGTGACCAATGGAGGAGAAGCAGGCTCAGAGGGGGCCAGTGACTTGCCTGGCATCACCCAGCCAGTTGGTCAGGGGGAGGGCCAGGATGTGAACCCAGCGATTCGTAAGCCTGCATTCTCTCTACCTGCTGTGCTGCTTCCCAAAGTCTGAGACATTGGTTTGAAAACAGAAGTACTTCCCTGAGCTGCCGTGAACAGCTGGTCATTGGGGCTGTGAAGAAACATCAGGTAGGCACTAGACAAGATGCTGTAGAGGAATCTGAGCATGGCTGTGGAGCTGGACTGGCTGCACAATGGTCTCTCCCTGCTTAGACAGTGAAGGATGTGACACTTGGCCCGAGAGGAGGAGCTGCTGTGCTCACTCAGGGCACCCTGCCTCCATTTTCCTCGGGGGCTCCAGCTAAGCTGACAGCACAGGGTGTTGAGAGTGGCCTAAGCCTTCCCTCTAATACCAGTCACCTACCCACATGCCCTCAGGCAAATGGCTCCACTACTAAGCTTCCTGTTTTTCCCACCTGCTACTCCAGCCGGGCTGTGGGAGCCTTCGCCTGGAAGTGCTTTGCGACATGCAGGAAGCAATCGGGACATAACCTGCCCACAATTATGATGAGCCACACCAGTGCATCCCGGGGCTGACACCTCCAATTACCTCTCTCCCCATCCCCTCCACCTCCTACCCAGCTATTTACACTCAAGTTGGGAACAGCTTCTGTTGGCGGGGACACTTGGGTTGGTGACAAATGTGTTTAATTCCGCAGCCCTGGCCAGCTCACAGAGCTCTGGACTGCTTCCGCCCTGAGCACTCTGGCTGCCCTCCAGCTCGATTGTGAGGTCCTGGGGATGCATTCTGATCCCAGCACTTTCCAAGCAGACTGTGGCCTTTTTCCATGTGGAAGGCTCACTGTTTAGTGCAGCTCTAACCCTTGGGAGACCCTGCCCGCTGGCTTCTGACTGCCAGGGAAGGAGAGGAGGGGAGATGTCAGGGATGGCTGAGGCATGAGGCCACCAGTCAGGAAGCCCAGTGTGGCCCAACTCCCAAATCTCCCATGCTGAAAGGACAGCCTCCCACTGACACCCAGAATCATTCTTTTTCTGTTTGATTTATAAGATAGCAGTGAGGGCTGGTAGGCTTGGAGCTGGAAGAAAACAGAGGGAAGGAAAACGTCATGGGAAGCAACCTATTTTTGAAAACTGTGAGCTGACGCCAGGAGATTAGGTTCTGTTTGTCTTGGCTGATAGGATTGTTTAAAAAAAAAAAACAAAAAAATCCTCCAGTGTCTGTCTCTCTCTCTCTCTCTCTCACACACACACACACACACACACATACACACATACACACACACACACACACACACACAGAGTATTGCTGCTGTCTGGCTCTGCTCTGGCTGTCTGGAAGCATCCTGGCTTTGTTCAACCCACCCCCTGCCGCCAGGAGCTCAGCTCCGTCCAGAGCAAACCCCCCGTCAGCAGGAATTTCAGCGCTGACACAGCACAAAACTGCCTCAAGAGGCCTTTTCAGTTTCTGGACTGACCTCAAATTCCTGTGCATCTGGATAATGCCTGGCAGAACCCCGCCCGCAAGCCGGGAATGGAGCCCAATGACGATGCATTAAAGGGAGGCTGGGTCCCATGGAGTGTGGCACATGGACAGTTGGACCCACTGAGCTGAGGCAAGCTTGGTCTGATGCTGGTGTCAGCAGTGAGGCCTAGGGACTGGCAGGAAGCCACTCAGGGATACTCCCTGGGGCTGGGCAAGGGTACCTTGTCTCAGCGGCACGCAGCTGACACTGTGGTTACATGGAGACAGCTGTTCCGCTTCCCATCTCCTGCACTAAGCTGTGAGCTCCTCCCGAGCAGGAACCTCAGCTCATGCATCTCTGTGCCCCTAGGGATGTGCTCTGTGTTAGGCCAAATGCAGGCCTCCATCTGTCCTCATCCCCATAGGAGCTGACAGCTTTGGAGTAGCAAGGGGGCACTACAAGAAGCAGCCTGGGACCAGGCCGAGCCACCCTGGGTGTGCGTACTCCTGAAGGGTGGGGCCATTAGAGCTGAGCCTTCACAGCGGGCAAGTGTGTGCCAATAGCAGGGTAGGAGGTATGGCATTCAGAGGGCCAGGACTGACAACTGGGTGCTGAACAAAAACAGCAGCAGCAGCAGCAGCAGACACATGGAGAGGCATCACACCGGATTGCCCAACCAGCACCCTGTGCACCCAAGCAGCAGAATATCTGGCACCTGCAGTTCACAGCATCCTTCTTCTACCCCTCCAAAAAGTCACCATTTCTAAGGGCAGTGCCACTGCCATTTTCTGCAAATGTCAGAGTTGTCTGAGGCTGGGTCAATGGCTCTGGACATGGCTGGCCTGGGAAATGGGCCTGAGGTCGGGTACCTGACTCTAGTCTGAGGGTGGGACAGCAGGCTGGCCTGCTCCTGGACCCTTTTCTGCTACGCTTCCAACATTTGGAGTAAGAACAGGAGCTTCAAACTTTATCTCAGGCTCAGGAATATCACAGGGGTAAGGCTCTACTAGAAGGATGCCTAAGTGCAATCAAGGCTGAAAAGGCCTGCTGCAGAATGTTTGTGACCTAACATTGAGGGACTAAAGCGATACACAAAATTGTACACATAGTATGAACTCAACTACATTTAAAATAAACAGAAGATGGGGCTGGCCTGTGGCTCACTCGGGAGAGTGCGGTGCTGATAACACCAAGGCCACGGGTTCGGATCCCATATAGGGATGGCCGGTTGCTCACTGGGTGAGCGTGGTGCTGACAACACCAAGTCAAGGGTTAAGATCCCCTTACCGGTCATCTTTTAAAAATAAATAAATAAAAATAAATAAATAAATAAATAAATAAACAGAAGAAAGTATAAAAGAAAAGACATCAAAATGTCGACAGTGGTTATTTGTGGATGCTTGGGTTAAAGAAAATTATCATTTTCTTCTCTGTACTTTCTTTTTCTTTTGATGGTCATGTATTCTACAGCTAGCATTTTATAATCAGGAAAAAAATATTATGAAGGAAGATAAAAAAGAGAGACGGAAACATGAGGCTGAGCAAGAGCCCATGTGGACTCGGTGCCTTTTGACAAGAGGGCCACTGGACCTGTCCTGCCTCACTGCTGCGCCTAAGTGGGGTCCTGCCACAGTGTGCAGCAGGTGAGCTGCTCTGTGCTCAGGCCCAGCGCTTCCACAAGATGGGGTCCTCCTGACCTGCAGCAGCTCCAGATCAGACGAGTCCTCCTGCCCAGGGACCATTTCTGTTAACATTTCGGACATAACTTTCGTGTTTCCTCGGACAACGTCCAGTTCACTCCGCAGCCTGGCAATCTGTTGGGGGCCACAAGGGAGGAAAGCAGGAAGGAGAGGTCAGTCACCCTGTACCTGGAATATCAGAACCAGCTAGCTCCTCAGGTTGGTGACAGTCCCACTCACTGAGATCTAGGTCACCTTTCCAAATGTGTGCCATAAAAGTCTTCTTATCTCCCTCCTGCCTGTGAGGGTGATGGCAGCTCTGAGAACTCAACGGGGAAGCAAGGCCACCACAAAGGGCGCTGGTCACCAGAAGCCTGTCATTGGTGTTGCTCTGCCCTTGACACTGGGGCAGCACTGTGCAGTGAGAAGCGCTGGGTCAGGAGTGAACTGAGCTGGTTTTCAATCTCGGCTCTCCCACAACAGGACCTTGAGTAAAAAAGAACTTAACCTTTCAGGGCCTCCGTTTCTGCTCTTTAAAATCCAAGTATAGGAATACAAGCGCTCTAAGGTCCCTTCATGGCTGAGATCCTTTTCTATGAACCTCATAGTTACAGATTCTGTACCTAGGAGTTTTATAATCTAAATACTCTGATTCTCTGAGAGGTTGGCCACTGTGCAAGAATGAGGGAGGGGGACTGAGAGAAGACCACAGGGGAGACCCCTCCCCCCCAGTTCCCTAGCTGGTAACACGACCCCTTGAAAACTACCCAATCTGCCTACTTATCAGTGCTCCCCAAAGCACAGACCTGAGCCAAGGCCTGAGCCTTCTTTCCTGCAACAGCAACACTGTAAACCCTCTGCCCTCTGTCTCCAGCCCTGTGCTTCGGATCACCTCCTTCATTCTCTAAACCCCTCGAGACATCCTTGTGGAGGCCACAGGGACCTTCAATGCACAGTGAGGCATCATAGAAGAATCTGCACAGAAATTCCTCTTCATCCCAATACATGTTGGAGGGAAATCCAAGAACTGCCACAGGATACTGGAAGGGGCCCTAGAAGACTCCGTGAGCATGGGGCCTCTACAGTAGTGGCAACGCCCAGAGCTTCTCTGAGCCTCAGTCTCCTCTCCTAGGGGAAAGCAGGAATAATAGCCCACATCACAGGGTGGCTGAAAGTGCCTGTAGGGCACTGGCATGTGCGCGCTCTTTACTGCACATGTGTGGTTCCCGTTCCTGCTCAAATGTCCAGAGAGCCAGACTGTGAAGTTGTTCTTCCTGCACTGTGACCCGGCTCAAGCAACACCTCCTCTCCTCGGTGAAGCCTTTTCTGATTCTCCCTCGCCCTTCCTGAGGTAGAAGCAACCACTCCCACCTCCTCCTTCAGGCCCACTCCCTGCACAGTTTCCATCGCAGCAGCAACGGCAGCCTTTCCTGGGCTGATGAGTCCTCTCAGCAGACCCTTCACTATTTAGTGCAGAAAGTCTGCTGGGTTGAGTTCTGTACCTGCAGCATAGAGACAGGGACAGGAGACCTCAACCAATGGTCAACCAAGGAAATAGTCCAGGTCCTGTGAGGTTCTGCCTGGCTCTGCTTGGTGGATGGCCCAGGGACCTCCTCCAAAGTCCTGGCTGAGAAGAGGTTTCTTGCCTGCGAGGCCCAGAACTGCTACAGTTAGCAACCATGTGGGCTCTGAAGTGCTGGTCCCCTAAGCCTGGCTGGTTACCTATCTGCCTGCCTCTGTGTCCATTCTCCCCCGGGGGCAAAAGGCATACCATCCTCTCGACTGTGCTGGCTGCTGGGAGGGTCTTTCCTGAGCACCCAGCGCACTGACAGCGACTCAGTGAAGTGCTCATGACTGTCTAACTTCAAACAATTTCTGCCTTCCCTCAGAGCACAAAGGGCACAGTTCTGCCCACAGATACAGCTGGAGACTTTTTTTTTTTTTTTTTTTGACTTTTTCCGTGTCCGGCAACGGATCGCAACCCTCAGTGTTGCCCCCATACTGGACCGGGGACCGGCAACGGGATCGCAACCCTCGGTGTTGCTCCCACGCCTCGCTCAGCCAGTGAGCGGGAACCGGTCTGTATGTGGGATCCGAACCCTCGGGCGGGAGCACCGCCGCACTTCCCAAGCAGCGCACTTATCCAGTGCGCCACCGGGCTGGCCCAGAGCTGGAGACTTTCTAAGGGAAGGCCTTGGCCAGTGTGGGTAACGAGGAGGGGCAGGGATCAGTGACACAGGCCCACAGGTAATGTAAACCTACACTTAGCTGTGGGTTTGGACCTCTTCCCCCAGAGGTGCACATAGCACTGAGGTGGCTACCATAAGAGCCTCCTCCAGCTGTCCATCATGCCCATGGCCGCCCTGTGGGATAAGAGGGAAGGACTGTCACTGTTCTACTTAAAGGAAACTAAGGCTGGGCCGGCCTGGTGGCGCACTCGGTAGAGTGCGGCGCTTGGGAGTGCGGCGGCGCTCCCGCCGAGGGTTTGGATCCCATATAGAGACTGGTCTGCTCACTGGTTGAGCGTGGTGCGGGCGCGACACCGAGGGTTGCGATCCCATTGCCATTCGCGGTACGGGCGCGACACTGAGGGTTGCGATTCCGTTACCGGTCACGAAAAAAAAAAAAAAAAAAAAAAAAAAAAAAAAAAAAAAAGGAAACTAAGGCTAAATGTTCTGACAGAAGCTTCATGGTGAGCAGCAGAGTGGCTCAGGCCCAGGCCTGTATGACTAGCAGTTCACTCCTCCTGCCTGCATCATGCTGCCTCCTCAGAGCTGGGAGAGAAGCTAACAGAACACCGGCCTGGCACAGTGCTGCCCTCCCCTGCACTCAATCGCTTGGCCCCTCTGTTTCTTTCTTTTTTAAAATTATTATTAGCATATTCATTATGACAAATCATACTTATTCTTTATACCCCTTATCCACCCTCTCCCCTTCCCTCTCCCCCTCCCTGTTGGCCCCTCTGTTTCAATGAGTTTCCAAATGACATTGTCACAAACAGTAAATAAGGATTTCAAAATATAAACATTGAATAGATTTTTTTTCAAGTCTGACCAATTCTCAAATTTTAACTAATGGGAATTCTATAAATCCACCTAAAGACCAGTCACCACAATTCATCTAAAAAAAATCCAGTTTTAGGTTAAAACTGCATTAGCTTATTGGGAAGTAGCCCAGGAAGGTAGGCAGGCACCCTGCTGATCCGGTCACTGGCTTCTGATGATGACGTTTCTTATAGGACAGATCTAAACCTGTGTGATAGACAAGCCCATTCACAACTCAACTGCATTCCTGTGCTTTTTGCCTCTCTTTCTGTCACTGTTTCCTCCACCACCTGAGCTCCACACAGGACCTACTCTCCAGTCAAGCTACCAGCAGTTCCCTGAGAGAGTCCTGCTCCTCGGCGCCTCCACCCATGCTGATGCCACTCCTTGCGTGAGACCTCACCTGACAAAGCCCCACTCCTGTCTCAGGACCCTCAGTGTGTCAGCTCCCTGAACTGCCTTCCATGCACTGCTCAACTCTGGGCTCACAGAGCACTTAGCTCTGCTCCCCACCACAGTGTGACCACATTCTAGCATGACTGTCCTGGCATCATCTGTCTTCTTAAGGGACTGAGCTCTTCCATCTTTGTGATTCTGACACCCAGCACAGCGTCTGGTCTGGGGAGGCCTCTGTATGTGTCTCCTGGAAAGGTGAATGAGGATGGTTAGCTGGCTTGCCTGTAGCCCCGAAGTATACAGCTACCTGTTCGGAATTGGCCGTGATGGGGCCAGTCACACTCAGAGCCGGGGCCTGCGGAGATGAGTAGGGAGCAGGAGGAGGCGAGGAATAGGAGCTGGTGCTTGTCCTCTGCTGCGACTGGGACCTGGGCATGGTTGCAGCTGGATCCACTTCAGGGACGCTCTGGCACAGCAAAAACAAAGTCCACTGTTCACTTGGGCTGCCTGTGCGGCTGGGCCTGGCAGCTCCCCTCCCCCACCCCCTGCCCGGTGGCACTTCCCAGCAGAGCTGCCTGCAGAAAAGCTGGGGCCCAGCTCCACTGCTGCCCCAGTGAGGCTCACAGAACCCCTCTGAGCCTAGCCTCCCCATCCATGAGGTGGGGCCACCACCGACTCCTCCCTCTACTTACCTCACAAGGTGTGTGTGACAGACAACCAAAGCAACTCAAAGTGCTCTGTGAGCATTCCGGTCATGGTTCCCATTATGAAGACCACCTCAGGATCCGAGTGGAGGGGGGCTTGTTATTAAGTTTTGCTAATCATGAATCTTTATTTGGTACCAAAAGATTATATTTTGGTCTTTACAAGTAGACGAATATAAATAGTAATTATGCAATTTACCAAATGTTCTTTGTAATTATAGGAACAACACCACTGTTCTGTCATTATTAGAATAATAAAACAGGTTATGTTTACTCCACTAAGCATTGTGAGTGGTTTGGAGGGATCATAATGAGAATAATGCTTTGGAAAGTACAATTCCTGTGCCTTCCCTCAGAGCCTCTCAGATCGCCTCAGGAACTCTGACTCATGTGCTCAAACGAGACATGCACAGGTGCGCTGTCCTTCTTGAGGTCCCCATTTCAGAGATGGGCAGATGGGGTCAGCGAGGCAAAGTGTACTGGGACAAGGTGCCTCTTGCGGATCCTGGAGCTTTCATGGCTGTCTTCTGGGCTAGGAGCTGATTCCCAGCCCTTAGAGAGACTAGCTTCCCTGCAAAACCACGAATGGCATCACCAGTGTGCTTTCAATTCTGAAGCACAGAGGTGCCCTGTCCACAATGTTCCACTTACTGTTGACATCATAAGAGCTTCAGCGGGATGTCCCTAAATGGGCCGTTTTTGGGCTTTGAGTCCCAAAGTTGATGGAATTCAGGACTGGATTGATGTTGAATGTTCATAGCTCAAAAAAAAATTTAGATCCATTTGACTTATACAGTTGAAAAAACAGAAAGCTTTTCTTTGCCCCATGCTGAGTAACATACATCCCTCTGCACTGCTCTAAGATGCTCTGGTGCTCTCAGGCAATGAGAATGGGATTCCCACACCAGATTCTATGGGCCTCTGAAGAGCAGGTGCTAATGTCCCTCACAGGATGGCTCCGCCCAAGCAGCCATTTCCATGAAACCGCCTGAACTGATCCCTCTATTATACTCTTCCTTAGTCAGTGTGAAAAGCAGGGAGGGAGGTGGGGGAGACACTGCTGCCACTTCATCACCAGTCGACCAGCTGTCTCACTCTGCATTCCCCTTGTTATTAAAAGAAATGCCCTCGAGCTTTAAGAAAGCATGATGACAAGCTGAATAATTCAAAGGGAGTAGCAGAAGGATGGTGGCAGCGGCTTGGCTCACCCATTCTGCAGTAGGTCTTTCTAGAAAATACCAGCTGGAAGCTTACCCGCTGTGGTGTGTGAATGGGAGACAGAGCGTCCAAGTCTGCCATGGGAAATTCAACCCCTTTCCTCTTCAACTCCTCATATATGTGCACAACGCCGGTAAGATCAGGACTGCTTCGAAAGGCATCAGCCCACGCCTGGGAAGACAGAAGGACTGTTAGGAGCATTTCTCACTATGTCTAAAAATCCAAAGCAGCTCATGTCCTCTCTGAGGCCAACACTCTCCTGCACTCAAATGTAAATTGCACTGTCAAACCTACTCTGTTCCTCTCCTCCTGCAATCGCTGCCACAACATGGCTGGTGAATTCCTGGTTTTCAATGGTGCTGCTGAGCGTGAACAAAAACACAAAACTTAATTCAGCTTGTATTTCCTTGGAGAGGAGACAGAGAACACCCCATGCGCTCTGGCACATCTTGAAATGCCAGCATTTCCCTAATCACAAGGAAATCAATTGTGGGGGCGGTTTAGCTGAAGGGATGGAAGGCTCAGCTAGTGGCCTCACAGTAGGACACGAGCCCTCAGTGCAGGAGCGCAGTGGTGGGTCCTCATGCACGTTCATCATCACACTCTGCCCTGACAATTTATGCTGGTGGAGGCGGGGACCATGAGCAAACTGAGCAGAAAGGAAAAGAGAAATTGATGTGTGACATGCAATAAAGGCTGACTCCAGGTTTCCTCATAGATCAGAGACTGTTAAAGCTGGAATTGCCTAGCCCAGTCCCGTTGCTGGCAGGTAAGATGACTGCAGCTCAGGGGCAGAAGAGCTCGGAGGGAGCCACACATGGGCCCATGGCTGGGGGTCCTGCTCCCAGCCCCAAGCTTCTTCTATTATGTCATGCTGCCAACAGTGTCAACATACCTGGGCCCAACTCAAAAAACCCACTGGAAAGCACAACCATTAGATTCCCCTAAGTGAAAACACAACACGGATACGAAAGAGCCCCATTTCTATTAATTCATAAAACTCATAAAAGTTAGAAAAAAAAAATTCTGTTCTTTGGAAGTTAACAGAATGTATCAAAAAAAGAAGTATACCGGGCCGGCCCGAAGGCACACTGGAGAGTGCGCTGCTTGGGAGCACGGCGGCACTCCCGCTGAGGGTTCGGATCCCATGTGAAGACCGGTTTCCGCTCACTGGCTGAGCACGGTGCAGGCGCAACACTGAGGGTTGCGATCCCGTTGCCGGTCCCTGGTACGGGCGCGACACCGAGGGTTGCGATCCCGTTACCGGTCAGTAAAAAAGACAAAAAGGAAAAAAAAAAAAAAGAAATATACCCAAAGGGCTCCCCAGAAACAAGGCCAACCAATCCCATGCTGCCCTGGTCACCATACATACCCAGAGGAGGCAGCAGGGCCTCCAGTGCTTATGGCTCCATGAACAAGTCTGTAATCGTTATAGCACTTAACTGCCTCCCTGGCTCCAGCAATGCCTTCCAACCAATCCTGAGGCAGCCACAGAAACTCTATCTCTAACCAACAGACCCATGCAAAGTTAAAAGGTCAGGGCCGGCCCGGTGGCGCACTCCTACAGTGCGCCGCTTGGGAAGTGCAGCGGTGCTCCCGCCGAGGATTCAGATCCCACATACAGACCGGCCGCTCACTGGCTGAGCGAGGTGCGGGGGCAACGCCGAGGGTTGCGATCCCGTTGCCGGTCCCAGTCCGGTACGGGCGCGACACTGAGGGTTGCGATCCGTTGCCGGTCACAAAAAAAGAGACAAAAAAAGGAAAAAAAAAAAAAAAAAAGTTAAAAGGTCAGTTTCCAAAAACCCTCCTTAATTAAGACCAATGCATCTCACTTACTACAAAGACTACTGTCAGCCTGGCTTTCCGTCATCCACTTATTTAATTTGCATACTTGGGGTTTTAACACCGTCACACCAGGGCACCCCTCTTGGCCACAACTTCCTTCTGGATTCTGAGGGGGGCTGTAGGTGCCTGCAGAGGCCCAGTTAGAGAGCAGTGCTGTCTGGCCTGCCCTTCATGTCCCCCCAAGGATGCCCCAGAGCCCAGCCCCCACCAGCTGCCTGGCTGACTCCACCTGACTCAAAACCCAGTGGAGCCCTGTGACTCTAGCTTCAAAATGTTCTAGCATGTTAGTTTAGGGTCTCAACTTTAGAGTCTGAAGACCAGTTTTTCAGGCCACAGTGGGAGGCTGGGGAAGAAACAGCACAGCAGTTCTTCCTGGTGCCACTTCATGCTTCTGTTTCTGTGGGAGTACAAACAGCTCCAAGGGCTCCTTTCAATTCATCTGGCCCTCTACCCACCCAAGCCAAACTGGAGATAATAAGAATGACAATTAAGGAACCCCATTCTCTTCAACCAGTGGATACTTCCTGGGGTCACTCCCCTTCCTGCACGCCCATAGAGATGCCCATTAGCTGTGTCTGCGCCGTGGGGTGAGGAGAGGAGGGAAATGTGTGTCCTAAAGTGGGCCGATCAGATTCTCCTCCTCCCATGAGCTTGGCCTGGGAGGTGGGTTGTTCTCACTGGGTAGGAGAAACTGTCCTCTATCAATGTGGGCCCTGGGAGGCAGCCATGTGCCAGCCCAGGAGCAGGAGGCAGAGACAGCCTGTGTTCTCAAAAAGGAGCAGCTGGTATGTTGAGAGGTGCAGACATATAAGGAGAGGATTAGGAGGGCCTTCCTGATCCCTTCTGTTGCTTCTCCGGCCCAGTCTCACCTCTGGCCTGGGTGACCTGGGCTTCTGGGAGGCCCTGCCTTGTCATGGCAAACTATCCTCTTTGCCTAGGCAGGCTGGAGTTGGCATCTGTTATTTGCAACCAAGCAGTTTTGGCTCATGCACCCCTTTCCCACCTGTCACAATCCCAACCTCTGTCTGGGACCCCTGTGCAGTCTGGGTGAGGTGGCTGCTAACAGAGCATATGTTCATGACAGTAATCTCTATTGAACGAGATTCTGATGCCAGCAGAGGAACAAATGGTGGGGGGGAGGGGAGGAGCTTTAAAAGGACAGTCATATGTGAAAATGCTGAGGTGAGAGAAATCCAGAGATGCCATGTGTCCTAGAATCTTCTTGAGTCTTGCCTAAATAACTGTGCTCCTGTCTCCCTCTATACCAGGTCAGACACCTTTAGGAGGCACACACTGAGTCCTGCCCTTGCGCAGAGAAGGCAGTCAGTCAGCATTTGTTGGGTTAAATTGAATTCCGTTCTCATGGTTACTAAGCATCTTTATTTTACTACTTCAGAGACCAGAGGAAAGATGGCCACTTAGGCTGTCAACAGACTGAAGTGACAGTGACAAAGGAGGGGCCCCCCTGGAAGCCTGACCCAGCTGAGAGTCCTCCCTAGGGGAGATGTGGCCAACCTCAGGAGGTCTGGTCCACTCTCAGAGTCCCTAATCTGAAGCCCAGGGGTGGCAGAGAGGATAGGGGCAGGCTGTCCTCCCCAACAGCTGCCTAATCAGAAAGTAAAGGGATGTGGAAGCACTGGTACCCTCTGAAGGGCCCCTGTCATGGAAGCCAGCTGGTTAATGACCAACTGGCCACCTCACTGGAAGCCATGCTCTTTATAAATTCCCTCTTGTCTTGCCTGTGGCTACAGTTATTAGGGGGCTGAAAGACCCAGAGGGATGTCTAATGGAGGGAGAAAAGAAAGAGATCAATCCATGCTTTTATCTGCTTCATTCCTTTAGCTTGTACATGAAACCCCAGACTAAAACCTTACACAAACATGAAGCATATGCTATTCATTTCTGTATCCCTCAAAGTTTTAACAAAGTATTGAATCATCAAATTTCAGATCAATAAACAATTGCTGATTTAAGCTATGGATTCTGAGGTGCCTTTGGACAAAAGGAGGCTTCTGTCATCTTCTGCTTATGACCCCAGACCAGAATTCCTGCTTCCAGTGACAGGGTCCCTGAGAGCCTGCCATCCACACAGAATCTGGCCAGAGGCCCAGCCGCCAGGCCTCTGACACCTCTAAAGAACACAGTACCTCAGCTCCTCCTGGCCTTCCTGCCCCCACTCCCATCCCCACCCCAATCAGCTCACTTTCTTTGGAAAGAAAAACCTTCAGTGGAAAGAGAGTATTTTTAGATTCTATTGCTGGGGCATTGGGGAAGAGGGGCAGGGCAGGGGAGGCGTGACCACAGAGGTTACACTAGCAGGATGACACCATTCTCTTCTTGAAAACAATGTCAAGGGAAAGGCTGAGGGATGGCATAGAGCAGGAGCGCCCTTCTTATCTTCCCAACAAATGGGACAACGTGAAGAAATAAAAAGGAACACACGCCAAGGGCTCTGTGAAAACTTAGGGGTGAAAACTAAAGGTTGCCTGAAGCAAAGCCTCAGGTAGTCAAGGGGTTGGAAGTGAGCATCGGCAAGTCACTAACCAGACTGCTCTGCTCTCAATGTGTCTACCAGGGAAGCCGGCTCCATTCCAGAAGGGCAGACGCCCATGGTGGGGGGAAGCCAACCAAGCCCTCACTCCCGTGTCAGGTAAATGGCCCCAGAACCATACTGCACAGGGTCCACACCCTGGGCTCAGTCTTGGAAAAAACAGAGGGTGCACTTCTTTGGGCATTCTGAAGAGGAGGGTCCTCTGGAGTACATGAGCCTGAGGGGCTGTCTTTTTTGTGGGGGCTGAGGTGGCTTTGGATGACTACAAGGCAGCCAGAAGACACAGAAAGCCTTGATGAGAGGCAGATGGAGCGCAGAGGGGAAGGAGGGACAGGCATCAGCTGGATTCTCGTTACAGCAGGCCCAAGGGGCAGCAGAGACAAACACATACCTCTGGAAATGCCACTTCTGTGGCCAGTCCTAAACTGCCCATGCCTGTGGTCAGCACCGAAGGAAGGGAATCGGAGGGATGGTGGGCCAGGTGGGCAAATGCGCAAAGACAAGCTCTGTCACCCCCTTCCCGACAGCCACAGGGAGAGTTTAGAAAAGCTGGTTTGGGGGCCGGCCCAGTGGCGCACTGGAGAGTGCGCCGCTTGGGAGTGCGGCAGCGCTCCTGTCGAGGGTTCGGATCCCATGTGGAGACCAGTTCCCGCTCACTGGCTGAGCGCGGTGCGGGCGCAACACCGAGGGTTGCGATCCTGTTGCCGGTCCCTGGTACGGGCGCAACACCGAGGGTTGTGATCCCGTTCCCGGTCAGTAAAAAAGACAAAAAAGGAAAAAAAAAAAGAAAGAAAAGCTGGTTTGGAACCCAACCTCCTCCTGCCCCTCAAAATGCCTGCAGCGCTGCTTCCATCATCAGGAGCAACCAAAGGGCAGTGGACTCAAGCCAGAGGCTGGTAATCAGAGTCATGGGTTCCACCTCGGCTGGGAGTCCCAGCCATGCTTCATGGGCTGGAGGGGCTGTGGAGGGGCTGGTGGGCTTGGCTGTGTCGCCCCTTCACCTTAAAATCTTTTCTAATGCCAACACTCAATCTACTTTTCTGGAATGAAAAGTTTAGGGCTGCACCTCCCCCACCACCCCCTCAACATTCAAAAGCCGGCTCAAGTGCCTCCCAGCTAGGGCCTGACCCTCTATCATCTTCAGACCTCAGTCTCTCCCGTTAAACTGTGGGGTCCCTGAGGGCCCCACAGGGCCAGGACTGACCTGGCCCCACTGCCCGGGCAGCTGGGTTCCAAAGGACTCCGAGAAGCATCCTGATAACAAGGATGGTAAGGAAGATTCTTAATGGTCCAGTACCCACACTTTTAGCTGAACCTTTTTTCAGTCTAGCCGTATTTATATTATAGCCTACTACCTACTCATGCACTGGCAAGAGAGCCAATGATCTGTCATCCCCCAATTCTTGTCTCATGGTGGGAGCAGCATGTTCTCTCCCAGGGGGAATTATCAGACTCTGGGGAGCTTGTGCAGTTTTAAAAGTATATTCAACATTCAAATAAATCTTTTTTTTCTTAAAGGAATTAAAAAAAGTTTGACCTGATGCAATACCACTCCACACTCATCAGATGGGCTGGAATGAAGACAAAAGGCAGGGCATGTTGGTGAGGACGTGAAGCAACTGAAGCTCTTGCCTCTTGGTGGGAGAGAACACGGGAGAGCTAGGCCAGCCCATGCCCACGCCCAGCAACTTCACTCCAAGGTATTCAGGTACAACATGAGATTGGATCATTTCTGACCAATGAAAATGACAGTTTCATGTATTCGACTTAACGTATACTCAATAAAAATGAATACATATGTTCACCAAAAGATGTGCTGGATGCGCATAACAACGTTTTTGGTAACAGCTCCAAACTGCGAACACCAAGTGCCCATCAACAGTGAAAAGGATAAACACACGCAGGACCTAGCACAGCAATGGGGGCACAGGGAACGAAAGACCCACAATCACAGGCAGCCACTTGTGCTGCCCACAAATGCAGCAGAGCCAGCCTCAACAGAGGAGACAGCACCGTTGTAGGAGCATGTGTGGGTAAAGTTCAGGAACGGGGAAAACTCATCTATGCTGTGAGGAGTTAGGTGAGGGGTCATGCAGGAATGTGACCTTTTTGGGGGGCTGGTCATATTTTGCTTCACAGTGTAGGGGCTGGCTACATGGATATGTTCAGTTTGTAGAAATTTATCAAATTGTACACACTTTTATGTGTACATATATTATAATTTTGTATTATATATATTATAACCCTGTATATATTTTATAATTCAATAAAAAGTTAAAAAAGAAAAAGAAAAAAAAAGAAAGAAAAGAAAAGGCTGAAGACCCTATTTATTCATTCGGTGTACCCCATTACAGAAGCCAAGCCATCCACCAGCTCTGAATGCTGCCTGCTTTTCTCTGTGTGGGCTGGCCATGACCAAAGGTGAGGCCCTTCATGAACACTGCAAAACCCAGATAGAAGGAACGCTCCCCAGTTAGGTCATCCACCCCCCACATGGGAGTACCTTTAACTAAAGCCCCTTGCATTTCGCAGCTGGACCGGGGAGACTGTGTCCAGGCCAGATGGGAGCCTGCAAGGTGCCTCAAGGCCCTCTTCTGCTCAGGCTCCATGGGCCAGGTGCACCCTGCTGCTGCCAAGCCAGCAGGGGGAGGCCTGGGAACATGTGTATGTGCCACTGCACTGTATGGGCTGATGTCTTGGGCTCAGGGCTGAGAGCAGGAAGGCAGGAAACCTGGCTCCATTTTACAGATTAGGAGGTAGATGCCCACAGTAGTTACCATACCTGCCTGAAGTTAGAAGCAGTGCTGAGTAGAAGTTGGGAGGAGCTGGAATGTGGGGAGGTTGTGACCCCCATGGGAAAGCTTCAAGGTCAGGATGAGTATGGGGGGTTGGGTATCCTCCAGGGAACAGCTGGGGGCCATAGCCAGTGCAGACACTCTGTCTGCCCTTAGACAGGGTTCCCACAGGGTTAGCAAGGGCAGTGCAGACAATAACCCTCATGATTGCTGTTCTTGCTATGGGGCAGGCCAACCCCCGCACCAGGCCTCAGCCAGGCTTCAGGTAAGGATGCTCTCACCCCAGAAGTGTTCCTTCCAGGTCTGCAGCCACTGTGGGCTCTGTGGAGAGCTGTCTCCGCATAACGGGTTTGGGCTGGAGTGCCCCATCTTTAGTGAGAAAAAGCCACCATTAGTTTCCCTGAGATAAATTCTTGGAGGTGTTAAGGAAGGGGAGCATAGTCCCAGAAGGAGGGATTGGGGGGGACTGGAGGTGGGAAGGGTGGAAGGGAGGTGAAGTGCATGTGTGTGCATGTGTGTGTGAGAGAGAGAGAGTACGCACAAGCGTGAGCATGCAAGATGCCAGGTGGGCACGAGGTGACAGGGACACTTCAGCAGAAGCATGGGGGGGCTCTGCTGTCACCCACACTCCTCTTCCTCAGAGCTTCAGTGAAATACACTCATCCACTAATTAAAAATAAATAAATAAAAACTTATCAACACCCACTCCATACATTCAACTGCTCTAGACCCTGGGGACACCATGTCCCAGGCACCGAAGAGTAAGGCAGACAATAGAAGTTAGCAAGGCCGGTGCTCGAAGACCACAACAGAGGGTGATGTGAGAGAGAGCTCATCTGAAAGATGGATAAGAGTCAACTGCTGCAAGAGCTGGGGAAGGGCTTTTCAGGCACAGAGAGCAGACAGAGGGAACGGGCTCCTTGGCTCAGGCCTTTCGCTCCTCCCGAGCATCACATCTCAACACCCCTCTATCTCACTGCCTCCTGCCTTCCAGCCCCACCCCCTGCCTGGTGGCCTTCCTTGTCCTTGCTGGAGCCCCACTCCAGCCCTGGGTTGGTCTCCCCTCTCCTCTCAATTCCTGCAGGACCTCGTCTTATCTCTACCACAGCATTAATTCCCCGTGTTGGATGTGCTTGTAGATTATATGCCTTTTGCCCTGTCACCAGGGTGCTCTAAGATTCAGGTCTGAGTACACCCCAGCTCAGAACCCTTCAATGGCTTCCCACTGCCTACAGGACCCAGCCCCAACTCCTCAGGACATGCAGCCACAGCTCCTGACCATCCTCTGGCCTCATCTCCTGCCTTCTCCCCTTCCCCACTCACGAGCCTGGCCCAGACATTATTCATTATGTTCTGCTCCCCATGTGATGGTTTTTAAAATATGTCCACAAATTCTTTGACCCTCCTCTCTTCAAGAGATGGAATCTAATTCCTTCACTCTTAAGGCTGGACCTGGTGACTCCCTTCTAACAAACAGAATATGACAGAAAAGATGGCATGTGACTTCCAAGACTAGGACATCAAGACCTAGCCTTGATGTCCATGTGGTAAGAAACTCAGGCCTCCTGCCACCACCCAGCAAGGAACCATAAGCCTTCTGCCAACAGCCAGGTGGGTGCATCATCTTGTAAGTGGAGCCCCAGCCCCAGCTGAGCCTTCTGAGGACTGCGGCCTCATGAGACCCCAGGCCAGAATCACCCAGCTAAGCCACTCCTGAATCCTGGCCCACAGAAACCATGAGATAATAAACGTTTGTTGTTTTAAGCTGCTAAGTTTTGCGGTAACGTATTACAGAGCAACTAACAATGAAGACATACCAAATGTGTCAACTGCTCTCTGATGAACATGCTATTCTCTGTCTGTGATAGCTCTTGCACTCTGACCTTTCCCCCAAGCTCTTCATCATTTTTCAGAGTCCAACAGAAGTGTCATCTCCTCAATGAAACATCCCTTAACACCATTTCCACCTCTTCACCCCACCCCACTTCACCTGCCCCACGGTTGGCTCCTGCCCTGCAACCTCGCCAATGCTGCGCATGGCTCTGACACGGCCCTTCCTACTCCACATTGTCTTAGTGGCCTGTTGAGGCCTCCTACCTGCCTTGGTGGGCAGCAGAGGCCCAGGTACCCAGAAAGCTACATGCAGGCTCTGTCAAACGGCTGGAGAGCCACTGATCAGGGTTTCATTTCAGTGAGATAAGTGGATTGCAACAAATATTTAAAACCAGAAGCCTCCATTTTTTCCTCCAAATGGTGAGAGAACATAAGGACTAATTCATAAGAGGTCCCATCTTACTCCATTCCAAAAATTGAGCAAGAGAAGCTGACCCACCTGGATCAGAGCAAGCACTTTGTCCTGTACAATGGTGGGAGGGTTGTTCCTGGGAGAGATGATTTTGACCAGAACACTGTCGATGAAATCTCGGTTCGCCACAAGGATGTGGAAGCGGTGGCCACAGTTCTTCACACACGTCTCCAGCACCTGATGTGGAGAGGGAAGGAGAGAGGGCAACACTGTGGGAGCTGGAGATGCCAGGCAGTGAGAAGGGTACCACCCTATGTGACTTGCTCCTAGATATCTTTCTGACGTGTCACCTCTACAGCCAAACCTAGATGGCACATGCATTCCCACACGCTAATTCAGTCGTACCTCTGGGGATGACAGCAGTCCCTTGCTGACTGAAGTCTCCTGTCCCTGCACAATAATCAGGCAATTAGTTGGTAATTGAGGCACCAGTCTTGCACAAGAAGGATGCTGATGTTTTAATGGGATCAAAATGACTGAGCCGTCTCTGAAAATTAGCATTTTAACTCCTCTCTCTGGGCCTCTGGGTGTGAGGCATTAGCCAATGGGACACAGTCTCTGTCACAAGAGGAGGCTGCTGTGACAGCTTAAACCACCTAGTGAATGACTGAGCCTTGTAGGTGAGGAAGTGCATGTACATGCACACACACCTCACATATACAACCTGCTTCTGCAACCTCACCAACCCTGCACATGGCTCTGACATGGCTCTACACATTCAAATTGGCAATTACAAAAGATTTTCCACCCTTGACAGTTTGTGGGCCTCAGCTGCCAGTTGGCTTTAAGGTCCATGTTCAATTCAAACCCTGCCTGTTTCTCCCTTGTCCTGGAAAAGGAGTTACACGGGCCTTAGCCACTCAGAAAAGCAAGATGCATGGGTTCTGGCCAGACGGCCAGTGTGGGCTTAAATCTTAGCTCTACCACTTTTTCCATGAATGGCCCAGGCCTAGTCTCTGGGCCTCAGTTTCCTCATCTGTAAAGTGGGGACAATGAATCCTCCCTTGCAGGATAGTTGGGAAAATTGGAGAGAATATGTTTAAAGCACCTAGCAAAGTACCCTGCATAGGGGAGGGAACAATAAATGATGACTGTCATTATATGATTACTATTCAGAAGGCCACTGAACACACGCAAGTAAAGGACAGCTTCTTATTCCCCCCCAGGACAGGTGAGAGGCAACTTGGAATTCAGAGGTACCAACCGGGAGGGCCTCTCCAATCTTGAACAAAGCCCTCTGAACCTCCCAGTCCTCTGTATACTGATCCACAGGATTACCTGGCCCTTCCCCTGCCCCCCGCCCCTTGCTGTGCCACCATTGACTGGCTGGGGAATGTTGTCAGCAACAGCGAACATTTCTGATTGCCTCGGTTATTCTCATTTGCCCAAACTAAGCTAACCACAGGCTAAATTATGCTGCCATTCCACAGGGTTGAGTTCACACAATTGGGCTTCACCTTGACAAAGCACTGCTGTAAAGGCATAACCATAACATTGACTAATGCTGACTACATGCCAGCACTATGAGAGATCTCTCCACATAATATGTAATCTCACTCAATTCTCACAACTAATTAATTCTCCTTAAGTGGACCTTATTATCCCATTTTTTAGAGTTAAGAGGCTTAGGGAGATGAAGAACTAGTCTAGGTACAAATTGTTGGTCAGTGCCAGAAGCAGGAAGGGAATTCTGATCAGCCTTCTCTGGAGATCTGCTCTCCTCACCCACTTCAAGGCCATGAGGCCACTCCTTCCTCACAGCTTTACCCCCCCAGAGCCACATTAGCTGAGAGTCCCTCAGAACACAGGCAACATGTGCTAGACTTCTTGTTCCCTCATTTGGTCCTTGAAATAACCCTGTAAGGTGGGTATTATCCTATTTTAGAGATGAGGAAGCTGAGGCTCAGAGATGCCATGTAACTTGATCGAGGCAGGGAAGGAGTGGGGGTGGAAGTCGGGGGCAGCAGGTATGGGTGGGAAAGAGAACTGGAAGGAGAGGAGCAGAGCTGATGTGGCAGAGCAGACCATGGCTCTGCCTCCACTCTCAGGACAGCAGTGGACAGGACACACTTCTCACCTTTAGGGAGCACATCCTCCATTTTCCTGGACAGCAGACCTCAAGGTCAGTGAGTTTGGCCTGGCCTTGCAAGTGCCCTGGACAGAGAAGCATGTGCTACAGAGCAGCCCCAAAGCCTGTCTGAGCTGGACGTCCTTCCTCCTTAAGCTGGCAAGGCCATTTCAGGCCACCCTGCCAAAAGGACCTCTGATAGATCTGTCCCTGGGGGTTGTAGGGCATGAAAAACACAGTGGCAATTTCCCAGAACGTAACCAAAACCCATGGAGTAAGCAAAAGGGGCCTCTGAGCAATCAGAAATAGATGTTTTGAGTCCATACACAAAAGCCCAAGCAGAAAGTCCCTCAGGACCTCTTAATAACTTCTATTTTGGGTAAATATTAACAATCTTGGAGGGTACAGATATGAAGTTAGAAAAGGGCCACAAGAAGCAGGGGGACTAAGAGCCACTAACAGGGTAAGTAAAGCTATAAAGGCAGACAGGAGACCTTGCAAAGTGGCCAGGCTGGGCCTTCAGTGCAGGTACAACAGCCCTGCACGGTGCACAAGTCTCTCAAAGGCATCGCTGGATTTGCAGTGAAGACCTGACCATCAGGAAAAGTCAAACAATGTATAACATACCCTGCTGTAGGAAAGCAAGTAAAGGTGGTCTACTTTAGAAAGATTTCCATCCAGTATGGTTACCATGACGTTGGGTGTGTGAAGGGAGAAGTTTTATATAACAGGAAAATGCACTGATGGCTTAGGGCTCATTCCCTGGTGAAAACTCAAATTCATTTTGGGCATCATTCTGGGTTTAGTGAATGCTATGGCTCAAATTCTGAGAAAAAAAATAAAAGCTTTCAACTCCCTATTTCCCAACTGGTCTTTTCTCCTTTATTATCCAAATCTCAATTCCCTAGCAGAGAAAACTCTCCTAATAAGTCTTAGGTTTTTACCTGGACAAAAAATCCAACAGTTTCCCTGTTTTAAAAGGAAACATGTTCTGTTTGGATAAATAACCCACTATTTCAAACCTACAGAGAAGGCGACATGCTGACCTGTTATAGTTTCTATTTTAAGAACTCCCTGTGGCCCAGATTTTGCCACATCTGAAAAACTGTTAGCTTTCAAGCCAGAAATAACACCTGAAGTCATCCTTTTTAATTCTCTGACATCTTAAGGAAGGGCAAAAATCTGGTCTGTTTCTTTCTGAAATGAGTTGCTTGGTTGACTTTTTCAACAACCTTCGCAACTATTTTCAGTTTTTACCCCATACAAAAGACCATGTTACAATGGCTATCCACAGCTCAGTACCTCACTAGCTGTGAAGGTTACCTCTCGGAGCCTGAGTTTTCTCACCTTTATGAGGGGCTGGGGGATAATAAAATCTATTTTGGAAGGTGATTGTAAACATCTGAAATAATATCTGAAAACTTTGCAGTCTCAGGCAGGTACTCGTTAGATGGAAGTTAACATTTTTACAAAGAAGAAACTGACACCTAGAGAAGCAGCAGGCCCCCAGTCTCAGAGCAGGCTGGTGGCAGAAAGGGACCCAGGTTTTCAGTCTCTCCACTCTGGGCTTCTCTACCTGACATAGAAGATAAGGTGTTGCCCATACCTTATCTTCTGCTGCTCTACATTTACCAAATTGAAGCTCACCACCTGTTTCAGAAGAGGGCAGGAAAACCCAAGGGCACTACCAGAAGGCTCTGCTGAAATCCAGCAGCACAGGCACCAAGCCACTTGGAGGCTGTGCTGAGTGGGCAGAGGGAAGGCCTGTGAGTGGGACAAGGCTGGGAGCACAGAGTTTCCCAGATGCTTTCCCTCCCCCAGGAGCACAGCACTCACTGTTAATGCCAGCATCACTTCTCTGTAGTTCCTGTTTCCATTGAGCCGCTTCTTCAGAGCTCGAATGGCATCCTTTGGCCTAGAGAAAAGGACAGATATATTAAGATCTTCGTAAATCCCATTTTGAGGCACTGTCCTACAGATTCACTCCCATTTGCATGAAGTAGCATGTATACAAGGTTGTATGCTGCAGCAACCTTTTACATTTATAAACATAAATGAATAGAAACAAATTGAATGTCCATCAATAAGAAACAGGTTAAATTAAATCATGGCTCAGCTGCACAATGGAATACTATGCAGCTGCAAAAAAGAGTAAACACTTTATACACCAATAAGGACCAAACTCAAAAGATGCACATAAAGTCATTCACAGAACAGTGCATGCGGCATGCTACTATTTGAGTTATAAAAAAACAGCAAACACATACATAACACACATGCCAGTGTAAAGAAGAGAATATTTGGAAAAAGCCATAAGAACCTGGTTACCGTGGCTGCCCCTGTGAAGGGAAACCTGTGGCAGAGGTGGAGAGAGGTTTCTCACTGGATTGCCTTTCTGCAGGCCTTTTAAATTTTGTATCACATGCAAGGCCTTTTAAATTTTGTATCACATGTATTCAAAACAGTAACTAACCCTTTGTTGTATGGATATACTGAAGAGAGTTTTTCCAGAGAAACCACAAGGCAGACATAGAAGAGAGAGTGGCCAGGTCCTGTCTTAGGTCTGCATGTTTGGTTCCTCCTAGATTTCATGGAACTCCTTTTCCCAGAGAAAACTTAAGTGAGTTTCCTCAAAACCCAAGGAATCATGTACTTTTAGGTAATAGATCTCATGAGGATTCCCAGAGGGAATATTATAGAATCATAGGCAAATCCCAGTTTACAAATGGGCCATGTTCAAAAGCTTGTTCATAAATTGTTAGGAACATGGAATGAGTTCTTCCTTAAATTACTGTTAAACCTGAGAGTTAAGATCCCCATCCACCCTCTAAGCACACCTATTACATGCAGGTCTTGTGTCTAACATGTTATTTAATTTATTCTATCCCAGGATTCAACAGAGTTGTGGGACTAAGAGGCTGCCCCTGGCATGAAGTCCCTGCCCCCTGATGCCCCATCACCCTGTGCTCTGGGGAGCTGCTGCCCTTTGCTATCACGAGTGGGCTCTCCCCTTCCACTAACTAATGTGTCAATATACATCAGTCATTCCTAGATTGTATGCTAGGGACCTCTTATTCCCACAGTTCTAAAATATTTATATTCTATTTACCAAATGAAAAGTCCTTTCAAAAGTGTGTGAGGAAGTCAGGGGAGGGGAGGGTAAAAGCTCTGCTAATCGGCCTAGCTTAGAGAGAAAGACACAGTAGCAAGGCAAGCAAGTCTTCTGGAAGAAATTTTAAAAACATCCTGAATCACCTATTTCCCATTCCCAATGTGAAACATGGCTGCCATGCAGAAAATTTTGGGTCCTGAGTGAAAGGGCTGATGGGAAGAGGAATGGGCCCTAGTCAAGTGTGTTTGAAGCATGGCTGCTGTTTCCAAACAGGGATTCTGATTTCTGAAAATATGACTTGACCAACTCTCTGCTTTGAGGACTGTTTGTGGCCTGAGCTGGTGAAAGTCAGCCTCTACTGGCCAGGAGCATGGACTGATTTCCTCGCTCAAAGGCTCTGCCAAACCACGGTTATTCCTGACCTGCATCTGCCATCCCTCTCAGTCCAGTCTCTTTCCTCTCCTCTTGAACCTCCATGGAGCAGAAAAATGGGAACAGCTTCTGAGGGCTGTGATCACTCTGGCTGGCAGAGCACCAGCACACTCAGAGCTCTTCTGGTTTGGGGGCCTCGGTAGTGGGAAATCAGACAGTCAGAAGGCTCCTGGGTTAGACTTAAAATGAAAACTCATCCACAGGCTGTGGAAAGTGCTGCCTAAGAGTGACTGGGTGAGCACAAAAGCAAGTATTTATCTCTCTCCCCAGGGGAGAAGCTTCAGAGAGGAAGATCAAAGTCTTGTCAGAGGAGCTGCAGCAGCTTAGACAGTGTGGAGCTGGAAACCAGGAGAAGGGAGAGAAGCTCGAGTCAAGAGCCAAGATGGAGCAGGAGAAAAAGATTAGGAAGAAACAGTGTGGGATGGCACCAAACCCTGGCAGCTTTCAGCAGAAAGGTGGAACTGTTCGGCAGTCCCCAGGACCTCATGACCTGGCCTCTGGCCCATATTCACTCTCCCCAAAGTCTCCTCCAACCCGAGACTCTTCAGAGCCCTTCTTTCCAGTCATGTGAACTCTTCACTGTTCCCCAAACAAGCCACGTCCTCCAGCCACAGCCTTTACACCTCTTTGTCCTTCAGTTCCAGAACCGCACTTCTGAGAAGGTTTCTCCTCTTTAACCTCCAAGAGGACATGGCTGCCCCTCCGCCATCACCCTGCATACTTCCCCCCAAGCCCTGGCTATTATCTTGCTCTACCGCATTTATCAGTTCCTCCTGCGTGCTCTCTCCAGCTTAGAGGCTGGAGCACAGACAAAGATTCAGTGAGATGGGGAAGGTCCAGAGATGGTCCTGAAAATGACCCAGGTCAGTGGATTCTCATAAGAGCCACATATCAGAATGGTCTGGGGAGCAATTCCCAAATCCACATGCTTATGCCCTAATTAGGTAGGTCTGGGGTAATGCCTGACAGGGTCTAAAACATTCCCAGGTGGGTTATTCAGCCAGGCAGTCCTGGTTAATGACTGAGGGACTGCCATGGAAGGCCTCAAGCATCAGCACTCCTCGGGCTGGGGGTGACCTCAGCCCTGGACATTAGGGAAAGCCCAGGGAGAGGCTTGTGGGGCAGTTCACCAATCAGCAGCCACCAGGACCACAGCCTGCTAGAGGGAAAGCTCTGCATAACTACAAGAAATGCAGGCAGAGCATGAGTGTCTGGAGCCAGGTGAACCTGGGCTTATATCCTAGTTGTGCTGTGAGGCTTTAACAAGTGACCAAACCACTTGGGGTCTCAGTTTTCTTAACATTAAAACATACCGTCCCTACTTTGTAGGGCTGTTGGGGGGCTGCATGAGAATGATGCAATCCAGGGCTGGGCCCAAGGCCTGGCACATGGCAAGTGCTCAGAGAACGGCAGACAGGGTAAGGGCAATGAACCCACAGAGATCTTTACCAAGGACTGGCCAGATAACCAACACCACAAAAATAAAAGTGATGAAGAAAGTCATAGGCAATGGAAATCTTTAAGGGATTAATAGCAAATCCATATATATAGCATAGATATGGGGATATATTTGCATAGTCAGATACTTTATATACGAGAGTGCTTCAAAAAGTTCGTGGAAAAATAAAATGAAAAGATAATGAACTTTTTCAGGAATTTTTTGAAGACCCCTTGTATATTTATTCTTTAATCCTTTTAACAACACTACTAGATAGATACTTTTATAAGTGAGTGAACTGAGACACAGGGAAATGAAGTAACTCAGCCAGGGCTGCACAGAAAGTGAGTGGTGACCTAGGATTCCATCTGGGGGAATGGCTCCAGGCTCCACACCCCTAATTCCACTACAGTATGCTTCCCATGTGTATGTCACAAGCATCACTCTCCAGCCTGGGGGTGTCCACCTTCCTCCCCTGTCATCTTACCTGTCTCACCTGGCTGATGCCCTGGGATCTGTAAGACTCCACTCAGGTGTCACCTCCTCCAAGAAGCCTTTGCTGCCGACAGCCCCAAGGCTGGCCGGCTGCCACTGTGCTGGTCTCTCTACCTAGCTATGTAACTTCTCTCTCTCTCTCTCTCTCTCAGCACTTGTCACACTGATATGACTGTGTTTTCATGCCTGCGTTCCTCATGAGACTGAGTGCCCTAGGGACCTCATTCATTCATTCACTTATTTAACAAATATTTATCAAGAGCCACTTACGTGTGTACTGTGCTAGCTGCTAGGGATAAAACGGTGAGTAAAGCAGATGGAATTCTGCCCTCATGGGGCTCATAGTCTAGTGGGGGTTGTGGGGCAAGACAGACACTAACAAACACCACACAGATATAGAAGTTTAAAATGTGAGGAGCATAAGTATAATACAGAACACTATGAAATCCTATCATGGAAGACCTGTCCAACCTGGGAGGGAAGGGTGTCAGGAAAATGAGATTCAAACCAGGCTCCAGTGAATGATGTCAACTACTTAGAGAAAGAGAGAGTGAGAGGGAAATAGAAGGAACAGTGAGACAGAGGCCCTACAGTGAAAGGCACAAAGGAGTGAAGGGGCGGATGGGGCACATTACCAACAGCCAATTTATGGGGTTTTTAGGAAGACATTTCGACAGTCACCTCACATCAGAGGCAAGGACAGGAAATCCTCAGCAATCACTGCGGTGCTCTCACTCAAAAATGCAGAACAGGAGTTTAGGCCACTTTAGAAGGAAGGTGTGACCAGGCCTTCTGTGAGGTGAGGATTTGAAAAAGGACCAACCCCCTCACAGACTTTGGAAGGTGGCTTTAGCCCCTTTGGAATGAAAAAGCTCCTGGGTTGCTGGGCCTCCTACCCTGAAGCCATGTAAGATTTGAGCAATTCACTGGAAACTAAGTTGCAAACATATTGGTATACAACTCAAATTTTTGGAGAATTTCAAACTGGGTATAGGAATGTGGAAAATTCAAGAAGCTGAAAGATCAGCGGGACTGAAGGGCCCTAAGTGGGGCTGCAGAGGGGCCCACGTCTCATCATCAGGGTTCTTAAGGGTTTTATCCCTAAGAGCCTGAGAAGGCCCTTGAAAGCTTATTAGCAAGGGAGTTACTTGATGAATTCTACTGAGGGGAATGGATGGGGGGAAAGGGCCGAGGCAGATGTCTACCTCTAGAGTAAAGCACAGACCTTAGAGAATGATGCAGCTGACCTTCACTACCTTTCCAGCCTGATTCCACACAACACCCCCCCCACCCACCCCCACCCCATGTCTCGCTATTAAACACGCTGACCCTTTTCATGCTACACTCAGCAACAGGGTACACTTCTCCACCTGCCACCTTGAAGCCCCAGACCAAAGCCAGCTCATCCAGGAGGCATATGCACCTGCCTCTCCCCTGAGTCCATGGTACTCTGCCACAGCCCTGGCAAGTCTTCCCAGGTGACCCTCAAGTGCAGGCTGGCACGTTCACCTTGGCATCCCAGAGTCATTACAACGCCACCAGTAGAGGTCAATAAACACAGCTGGATGGCTGGATAAACAAGTGAACGAGTGGTGTCAAAGGATGTGAGCAGGAAAGGAGCCCAAGTGGATCTAAAGGAAGACACTGGTCCTCAACAACTATTTGTGTCACATCTGTGTGCCAGGCACCTACATTTAGCTGGTGAAAATATGCTACCTTTCACCAAACACTCCCGCTGCCCCCAACTCCAGAGTCACGTGTGCAGTCACCCTGTCAGCAGTCCCCAGGAGCTTGGCCAGCAGCTGGGATCTACTCCTGATCTCTGCTCCCCAACCTGCTCCACCTCAGGAAACAGCGGTGACACCCTGTGGCTGTTCAGGCCCCAAACCTTGCAGTTATCCTTGACTCTTCACTCATATCCCACCTCAGCAAATTCCACTGGCTCTACCTTCTAAATATATTCAGAATGGAATCATTTCTCATTTCCTTCTCTGCCATCACCCTGTCCAGCCAGCCATCACCTCACACCAGGATTACTGTGAGAGCCTCCTAACTGGGTTTTTGCTCTGCCTTGGCCTGCCCCAGCCAAGACATTCTGAAGACAGTAGACAGTGATCTCTTTACAATGATAGTTAGACCAGGCCACTCCTCTGCTCAAATCCTCCGATGGATTCCCCTCTCACCTGAGTCAAAGCCAGAGTTGCTTTGATGCCTACGTACCGGCCCTGCATTTCTGGATCCCCACAACATCAATGCCCTCATCTCTGGGCACCCTCTTCCTCGATCATTCTGCTCCAGCCTCACTAGCCATCTTGCTATTCCTCAAACACACCAGACACTCTCTGTCCCAGCTCTTCTGTGCCTGCTGTTCCCTCTACGTGGACAGTTCTTCCCTTGTATAATCCTCACCCCTCACTCCTTCGTCTCCTTTAAGTTTTTGTTTAATGTCACCTTCTCAGTGAGACTTTCTTTGATCGCTCTATTTAAAATTGCTAAGTCCCAGTCTTCTCTCTCCCCATCTTCCTTCCATAGTCTTGTCCCATCTGAACAGGTTACATTTTTTTTTTCCTTTTTGTCTTTTTTCGTGACCGGCAACGGGATCGCAACCCTCGGTGTCGCACCCGCACCGCGCTCAACCAGCGAGCGGACCGGTCTCTATATGGGATCCGAACCCTCGGCGGGAGCACTGCCACGCTCCCAAGCGCCACACTCCACCGAGCGCGCCACCGGGCCGGCCCAAGGTTACATGTTTTAATTATCCTTCCCACTCCAGACTGCAGCTCCCCAAGGGGAGGGAGACTGTCTTGTTCACTGCTGTGTCCTCAGTACTTACAATAGGGCGCGGCACAGGATAGTCACTCAATCAATGGTTGTTGAATAAGCAGGACCAACCTTAAGAGGCTGGCACCCAGTTTATACGTGGCAAGGCTACTGAGTGACAGTGTCAAGATGCAAGCCCAGGGCTGCCTGAGTCCCAGCTGTTCTCCTTATCACTTTGGAGATGGTTTAAGAGGACATGGCTACAGGAAATAAAGTGTTTATGGTGTGGACAGAGGGCTAAATACAGACCAATCTGTAAGATGTACAAATAGAATGTAGCTATAAAGTGGAAGGAGAGGATGTAGTAAATAACAGCAACAACAACAGATCCAGCAGTGCAGGAATGCAAGCGAGGCTACCCACAGGTTAAGTCCATCCACACCAGAAACACGCACTGCTCTATGCCACGTGCATCACTTTCTCACTCCCTGCCCTGTCTGACCCACCTTCCTCCATGGACACTATGGTGTTCTTTGACTCCTGGGGCCCTCGTCCAGCAAACCAGGACAGAGGCAGCCCCAGGTCTGCAAAGGAGAGGAAGGGGCCAAGGAGGAGGAGATGATTTGGCTGCAGAGACTAATGGCCACTGGAGACCAGTGACCAAGCGGCTTCATTTCCACTTGTGATTAAAAGCAAGTGATTAAAAGAGGTTGTCACTGCTCTAACTCGAGCACTGCCATTGGGGAAGGGGGGGAGGGATGGATGGGAAAAGGACAGATAATTAAGAGTGTCGGCTTATTAAAGTAAACAGACTAAAAACAAAATAAAAAGTAAAACCTACCACCCTTAAGCCCTGACAGGCTTAAGGGTGATAGGTGGCTTAAGGGTGAACCCCAAGAACTGAGAGAGGCTTCCCAGGATGATGGGTGATGGGGGCACACGTACCCTTCCTCTGTTTCATTGATGATGTCGCAGATCTCCATGTTCAATGTCCAGTCCTCACTTTGCAGGGAGCCATCTGTTGCCTTTTCTGTGAAATCAGAGAGAAAACCGATTTACATTTCTCCTGGAATAAGGAGGACCTGGCAGAATATGGGAAGAGACAGACCACCACATTTTCTTTCCAAGCAGATGGACTGAGCCCACAGAGCCTTCTGAGGGTACTGCCTTCACAACAGAACAACTGGGGACAGAGCTGAGCCTGAGGGCTGGTGTCATAACATGGTCCTCCACTCTCCACAAACTCCAGATTGAAAAGCTTATGACACCTAAAACACGAGGATGCTGGGCCGGCCCATGGCTCAGTTGGGAGAGTGTGGTGCTGATAACACCAAGGCCATGGGTTCGGATCCCTATATAGGGATGGCCAGTTAGCTCACTTGGGAGAGCGTAGTGCTGACAACACCAAGTCAAGGGTTAAGATCCCCTTACCGGTCATTGTTTAAAAAAAATAAAAATAAAAAACATGAGGATGCTAAGTTGATGAGCCGACGGATTCTGGAGTCAAACTACCTGGGTTCAAATACAGGCTCTACCACTTACCAATAGTGTGATCTTGTACAAATTACTTAACCTCTAGGTGCCAAACAACAGTATCTATCCCATAGAGCTGTTATGAAAATTAAATGGGTTAATATATAAAAAACACTTAGAATGCAGCCTGGCACACAATAAGTCCTGTGTAAGAATTTGCTATTCTAACTGTTAAAAATCAACTGCAGTTGTTAGAAACTACATCTCAGAAAAGGGGGAGGAAGAAGGAACCATCGTTTAGTAAACCACTGTAGGCATAGCATTGGGTGCTTCACATACATTATTCTATTTCATCTACAAAGCAACCTTCTGACCATTCAGTGGGGGAAAGGAAAATCTTTTCAATAAATGGTGCTGGAAAAACTGGATCTCCACATGCAAAAGAATGAGGTTGGACCCTTGTCTTATACCATATACAAAAATTAACTCCAAATGGATCAAAGACATAAACATAAGAGTGAAAACTATAAAACTCTTAGAAGAAAACATAAAGTCTTCATGACATTGGATTTGGCAATGATTCCATAGATATGACACCAAAGACACAGATAACAAAAGAAAAAACAGACCAATTGAACTACATTCATCCCTTGATGTCTGAGGAGGATTGGTTCCAGAACTCCCCTTGGATACCAAAACCTGTGGATGCCTAAGTCTCTCATATAAAATGGCATAGTATTTGTATATAACCTACACGCATCCTCCTGAATGCTTTAAATAATCTCTAGATTTCTCATAATACCTAACACAATGTAAATGCTATGTAAATAGGTATAATACTATATTGTTTTTTATTTGTATTATTTTTTATTGTTGTAGTGTTAGTTTTCCCCCCATGGTTTGTTGAATCCATGGATACAGAACCCACAGATATGGAGGATCAACTGTACATAAAAATTAAAAACTTCTGTGCCTGAAAGGACACAACAAAGTGAAAAGGAGACCTATGGAATTGGAGAAAATATCTGCAAATCATATATATAATAAAGTGTAAATATCCAGAATATAGAAAGAACTCCTACAACTCAACAACAACAAAAACTATCCAATTAAAAAATGGGGAAAGGACTTGACCAGACATTTCTCCAAAGAAGATATACAAGTGGTCAACAAATATATAAAAAGATGTTGGACATCACTAAGAATTAGGGAAATGTAAATCAAAATTACAATGAGATATTATCTCATACCCATTAGGATGGCTGTTATAGAAAATACAGAAAATAACAAGTGTTGGTGAGGATGTGTAGAAATTGGAACTCCTGTGCACTGTTGGTGGGAATGTAAACGGTGCAGCCGCTGTGGAAAACAGTATGGTGGGTCCTCAAAAAATTAAATATAAAATTACCATATGGGGCCGGCCCGGTGGCGCACTAGAGAGTGCACCGCTTGGGAGTGCGGTGGCGCTCCCACCGAGGGTTCGGATCCCATGTGGAGACCGGTTCCCGCTCACTGGCTGAGCGCGGTGCGGGCGCAACACTGAGGGTTGCGATCCCGTTGCCGGTCCCTGGTACGGGCGGGACACCAAGGGTTGCGATCCCGTTACCGGTCAGTAAAAAAAGACAAAAAGGAAAAAAAATAATAATAATAAAATAAAATTACCATATGATCTAGATCTGAGAATATACCCAGAAGAACTGAAAGTAGGGTATCAAAGAGCTATCTGTACATCCATGTTCATAGCAGCATTGTTCACAATAGCCAAAAGGTAAAAACAACCCAAGTATCCATTGACAGATGAAGGGATAAACAAAATGTAGTATATACACACACATATAATTGTTATATACATACTACGGAATATCATTCAGCCTTAAAAATGAAGGCAATTCTGGCCAGCCTCCAAAAGAAAAAAAAAAGGAAGACAATTCTGACACATGCTACATCACGGATGAACCTCGAGGACAGTATGCTAAGTGAAACAAGCCAGACACAAAAGGACAGATACAGTGTGATTCCACTTATATGAGGTACCTAGCCAAATTCATAGAGACAGAAATCTGAGTGGTGGTTGCCAGGGGCTGGGGGAAGAAAGAATGGAAAGTTAGTGTCTAATAGTGTACAGAGTTTCAGTTTAGGAAGATGAGAAGGTTCTGGAGATGAATAGCGGTAATGGTTGTACAACAATGTAAACGTACTTAATGTCACTGAACTATACACTTAAAAATTGTTAAAATGGTAAATTTTATGTTATGTACATTTTAGCACAATAAAAAAGTCACCCTAAGGCCGGCCCGTGGCTCACTCGGTAGAGTGCGGTGCTGATAACACCAAGGCCACAGGTTCGGATCCTATATAGGGATGGTCGGTGTGCTCACTGGCTGAGCGTGGTGCTGACAACACCAAGCCAAGGGTTGAGATCCCCTTACCGGTCATCTTTAAAAAAAAAAAAAAAAAGTCACCCTAAAAGAAAGAAAAAGTATACAGGTATATAAGCCAACAGACTGTGGGGTTGGTAGGAATAAGGAAGTGAGGATCAGAGATCATTCAGGCCTGTTGCCTCATTTGACAAGAAACCTAAGGCCCCAAGAAGAAAAGGGAATAGTCCAAGAGCTCAGGATCATCAGTGGCAGAGCCAGGACTAGAACTAGGGTCTCTTGACTCCCTGCCCCCTCTGTGCTGTGAGCTCCCTGAGGACAGGGACTAGGTGTGTCTTGCCTTCCACTGTGATCCCAGTGTCCAGCACTTGGTAGCTGTGCAATACATTTATGTCCGATGAATGATCTCTAAGTTAGTGGTTCTCAGCCCTGGCTGCACATGAGAACCACCTGAGGAGCTTCTGGAGCATACCAATACTTGAGCCTCATGCCCCAGAAGTTCTGATTTGAGTGGTATGGGGTGGGACCCAGGCATTAATAATTTTCAGAAGGGGCCGGCCCGGTGGCGCACTGCTACAGTGCGCCGCTTGGGAGTGCAGCGGCGCTCCCGCCGAGGGTTCGGATCCCACATACAGACCGGTTCCCGCTCACTGGCTGAGCGAGGTGCGGGCGCAGCACCGAGGGTTGCGATCCCGTTGCCGGTCCCGGTCCGGTACGGGCGCGACACTGAGGGTTGCGATCCGTTGCAAGGAAAAATAAATAAATAAATAAAATAATTTTCAGAAGCTTCCTGGGATCTAATATGCAGTCAAGGTTGGTAACCACTGTTCTACATCGTGCTCTCTCTAGCTGGCGAGTGAGAGACAGAGACTTGGTAGTTTTCTCTGGGAGTTCACAGTCTCTGGCTGGTTCTCTCCGGCTTATCTTATCATCCTGCCTGCTCTGCTTAAACAGGCATCACGTCTGTTACAGTGCAGTGGGGTGCCATTAATTCTCTCTGCAGGTCCTTGGCACCAGGGTACAGATATTATAGCACCAAGAGTGCTGTGGTTGTCTTCTGTTACAGCTCAGGCTGGACTGTATCATGAATGTCTGCCTATCTACCTCCCTCATGATAATGACCTCTGAAGACAGGGCCCTAACCATCTCCCTCTCCTCAGCTCCAAGGATGGTGCATGGCACATCTGAGGCTCTTGTCCATCTTGAGTAAATGACATTGGGACTATGTGGCTTTACTTCACCTTAAAGTTACAGAAAGAGCTGCTTCAGAGTAGTCTGCAGCCTGCCTGATGTACTTTGTTTCCTTCTGGCCCTGTTATCTTCTTTTTAAGAGGGGTGAGGAAAGAGTGGGACAGCTGTCATAGAAAAGAACATCTGACAAAGTGGGGAAGAGTACTTGGAATTCATTCTCTTGTCTCTCCAGCAGAAGGGGGAGCACCCACAATTAACATTCACAAAGCATGTTAGGATTCTGAAGCAACAGGCAATAATGGTTCTGTGGAGAATGCTGGGATTGATTTTTCTTTCCACCTGGTTTGCAGATGCCAATCTGCCTCACTAGCATAGAGTCATCCAGAAGATTCATTTCATATTATTGAGGAATATTATCTGATGAGCTTCCTAACCATCTAAACCCCTTTTTCTTCTTTCCCCACACCCAGCATGGAGCACCCCTAAATGCCAGGCCTTTGTGCTGGCACCTCTGGGCTCCTACCCACACTCTTGATTTGGGGGGAAAGAGATAATTTGGCCGTTTTCTTCTTCATTCTTACCAAAAGGATGTTGCTGAATGCAAAATGATAAAACCAGCCCTCTATTGCCTTCTGGTGCTGGCTGCCTCTGAAGTCACTATATTTAACATCAAAGTATAGAAAGCAGCAGCCAAGAAACCAAGCCACTGGATTGTGGATTGTGAGGTTCCTCCCAGCAGGACTGTCTTAGTTTTCAGACTGCATGGGAGGAAGGGTAGGCAGAAATACCATGTTCATCATTGCTGTCAGGGTCAAGGCTTTAGGGCATCCTGGCCCTGGTCCTACACCAAGCGGAAGGTGGCCTTTCTGAATGGATATTATGCCATGGCAACAGCATCAGGATGGTATGCTCCTCTTGTATTGAAGGTTTAGTGGGAGCTATATCTGATTGTTCCAGCACTGCCCCAGCCCCTGGTCATATCACCAGA